ATTTTTTTAAGCGATGAATCGAAAAAAAAAAAATTGCTCTGAAATTTCATGCAGATTTTCCTAACCATCTCGGTTTTGGGATTCAGAAGCACATAATTACAGTTTGACTGATACTATTTAACGTTATTAAATGCTTATAATGCCTATTGTTTTAAAGCCTAAAATTATTAATCATAATATTATAATAAGCTTTTATTATGATTCCTCCTTTCCGAGCTGACTATATCTTATACACTGTTTGTCAATATAGCATCATTTATAAACACGAAATTTAAATATAAATATAATTACAATTCAAATTTAAGACTTCTTTTCCCTCTTTTTCTGTTGTTACCGTAAAGAGTCGCTTAGGTTGTTTAGTATTTGCATTGTTCAACTCAATAAAACTGTTCCGTATTTTAAAATAACAGAAATATTTGAGTCACTTTTCGAAAGATTTCACGGACAGTTTAAATAATTACCTCTTCGGATAATAATGAAGAATTCCGATAGTGAATGTTAAGAATTATTATCATTTTTATAATTTATTTGACTTAATTATAATGAAATTTTTATATTCAATAAACACCCGCGATTGCGTATTTGTCTGCATAAAAGCAACAGAAATAAGAAATTTTAAAATCAAATATTAACCATTTGGGAAGATGTTGAAATAACCTCTTCGTGAGGAAATTATTATAAGTTTATAATTTTAATAACAACCTCTGAATTACGTATTTGTCAACACAGCAACAAAAGTAATAACATAGTACCCATTTGGGAAGCTGTTTGTTCCTCCCCCTAAATGATAAAATATAAATAGTGCCTGGAGCGGAAAAGTTAAGAGCAAAATAAAAATGCCGTCTATAAAAAAAGTGTTCAAAGAATGTGGGGGGGGGGCAGCAAGGTAACAGTATCGGGTGCTGCTGTTGCCATTAGTGCATAACTGAACTTCCTCTCGTCGAAAACATGCATTATTGTCAGATTTCCGGAGTGTAAACATTTCGAGACCCTGCGGCTTTGTTGCGCATCTTCACAGAGCACTGAATCTATTCTTTCGATTTAAAATAACAGGAAAAGTGCGCTTATGGGTTTTAACGATTTTTGCTGGATTAACTGGAATCGCAATCATCAAGTAACGATGAGTAACAGGAATACAAAAGACGGGTAGGGTGACCCAGAACTCTTCTGGCAGTAATGCAAGGGGAATGTAAACAAACTGCAAGAAGTTTAATTTTAGATTATTTAATAACGTCAATAACGGCCGAAAAAAAAGTAATTTAATTTTCATTGGTTCTTATAGATGATTCATATGTTTGAATTAAATCCTAATTTTATATATTCCAGAATTGCTATAAAAATGTCGTCAGATATTTTAACCTGTAATACAACGATTGATCTGAAAAGGCGATGTAAAAAGCAATTTAAATATTTATTATACAAGAGAAAACTCTCGTTTTGGGGTTAAAATATATTCGAAGTTTTCAAACAGCAGCTTTACCAAAATTCGGTACTCTTCTGTTATCGGGACCAGATTCAAAAATGAATATATGTAAAGATGTATGTGTTCATGTATGTATGTATGTATGTTTGTGTGTACATAAACATACACACATACATACACACATTTCTGAATCTGGTCCCGATAACAGAAGAGTACTGAAAATTCTATTGACAGAAATTTAGATGTCTTCTGCAAGGATCCTTTAAAAGAAAATGTTGCTCATTCAGTAGTTTAAAGAAAAATTATATTCCAATACAAATAAAACGGCATATCTCGCCCCACCCGGCTTGAGCAAATGTGAACTCTTTCTTTCTTACCATAAGATTCTCCAAAATACGTTTTAAAGGATAAAGGCTGTCAAATTTTTTGTCAATGCAATTGAGTGAGTGGCAGCAAATTTGCAATAAAATAATTTAGATAAACCTTAACGTACACTCTTGCATTAAAATACATTAATAAATGGACATAAAAATATTTTTTAAAATAATAATTCCCGATGAAAATTTTCAATATTCTTTGAATCAGAATTTAAAAGTAAAAAAAAAAAAAAAAAAAGTCTTCAGTGTAACACAAATGAAACATTTAACTTATGATGAAATTCGATTAATATACGTAGAAAATAATAACACGATAAGCATCTTTTCTATAGATGAAACACGTCAGTAATTTTATAGGCATTTAGTAGATGGGCATTTACAATATTAATAATAAATTCCACAATATTTATAGGCGAAATACAAGTGCCCCCTTCGCTTTCCCCCAAACTAAGAAACCATAATCAAGTATGCATTCTTATTAAAAATGCCCAATATTTAAAAGAACAATAAATATAATCTATGGACGTTATAAACGAACACGCAGATGTTTATTTATTTAAACATTACCCTCCCCAGTGCTAAAAAGTAATATCCACTGAATTTAAGACAAGTTTATTTAATTAGTTTATTAAATTTATTTCTGACTCACAGAATAAAGAAATAAGTTACGTTTAAAATAATAACAATAATTAGTTCAACAAATAATAAGATATTCCAAATTTGAAATTTTGACCCAAATGCGCATGTTTAGCAATTTGCCTTATCTTGCACTGTCACGTGTTAATCTAATAATTTAACTGCTTGCAATATTTTTTTAAATAAAACTGATATAATAATTATGTTAGATTTACTAGAATCCATGCGTCGGGCAGCTTACACCGAAAATATCCGTATCTAAAATGTTTCGTGACATGTCTATCCGATGCCCCCCCCCGAAAAAAAAGTCACAAGATTGTCTTCCGAGATTTATAAACTCAAAGGGCGTTAGTCCAGAAGGGCTATTGATTTCAAAACGGCATTTTGCGTCGTTTCACTTTTCAAACTTTTGCCACCAAATATTATTGCCATGTATTTATTATATTTAAAAAAAAAAAAAAAACTAAATGAAGAATCTGCATGTTTCTCGTATTGTGAAGAAACAAAGGTGCCATCAAATTTTCAATTACTAGTCCTCCAAACGAACATGGGCACTTGGAAGCTAGAATTTTGAATTTGTTTTATCTATTTAAAATTCGGTAAAACTTTTAACGAATTTTTATTAACAAACTCAGCGATTTCAAAGCGAGCAGTGGCAACACTGGAAAAAACATTTTTATCTCCGTCGCGCCCCAACACTGTGTATTCTAAATTCTAGAGATATGCTGATTGTTGTTTTTAAATATTTTGTGATATTGCCGTATTAAAATATTTGTGATTTTATGTATTTTAAGGTGGAAGAACATGATATTTAATCAATAAAGGTAACACTCAAAACGTTATAAAAAAACATCCTTTTAGGCGTAATATAAAATCAGAAATTGTTTAGGTTTTTTTTTAATATATATATATATATATATATATATTCTTTAACGAAATTTCGTTATAGCAAAATATATTTATTCTTGGTGCAGTTTCTGTTAAAATGGCAAAACATATGCAATAGGAAACGAAGCAAAATAAATGATATCCAAACCAAAATTGCAGAACAAATTCCCACTGCAACCGTATAACAAGTTCTCGTTTTATCGGGAGCGAAAGAACATCATTTTTATTTATAAAATACGCAATTTATACTGATTCTTCTCGCAGAAATCATGCTAAATCTATAAATCTACTATCGGCATGCATTTTTTATTGAGAATAATTACGCGCTGGTTGCATATAAATATATTATGACGATACCGTTTAAACTTAAATTAATTCTCTCTCCAATATATTATTTTATCTTTTTTAAGTATTGCTTTTACCAATATAGTAATTCTCTCTCCAATATATTATTTTATCTTTTTTAAGTATTGCTTTTACCAATATAGTATATTGGTAAAAGCAATACTTAAAAAAGAAAACTGTCGGTGAATAATACGAAATGGCAAGAAAATTAATGATTACGCTAAACGATATGTTTTTCCCTACAGTTTACATATGAAAGTAAAAGAAAATATTTATGTTTAAGTAATTTAATCATGTAAAATTAATGATAAAACTTATATAATTTAAGAAATTTAGGGCTTTAAGAAATTAAAAGTATCGCGATTCGGGAACACACACTATGGAATTTTAAAATTAAATCTGAAAAGCAGAAAAAAAAATATTCTAAATCTGTACCTGGCTATTAAAAATAAACCGATAAGAATTTTCACCACTATGTACGAAAGTAAGCATATCATAAAATTTCTCGAAACTTAAATGTATTTTTCCATCGACTGTGAAAGATTACAAAATGCAAGTTCATGCACTTTATTTTACTCAAAAAGAAAATAATGTTGTACATTTAAAATGTCTTATCAGCTCAAAATACAAGCAATATACTGCAAGTGATTTAAATTTCTTTATCAACATGAAAAGCGCTTGAAAGCTTATTAAGTTTCTAAAATACACTATGGCATAAATGTATTTAACACGCAAAATACTGAAATTTAAAACATGCAATATTTCGCTGATTTCTAAATACACATACTGTGTGTCAATACAGCTTACTGCTGTGAATCATATTTATAAAATCGATTGCAGAAATTTCCTTTTTCTACGAAACATAAATTTTGAAAAACAAACTTACAAAATTAATAAATGCTAATATTTACAGTGATAAGTTTCAAGTATTCAAACTGACAATATTTAAAGTAAAGCATTTAAATTTTATTCACAGAATGTAATTATTCGTAAAAGATTATTAGCATCAACTATTATACCTTTCAAAACTATACTATATCAAACAAGTATTTAAAAATATCAAAAATCTACACACATTCCGACTGAATTTAGATTCTGAAATAAATCTGACTGATTCAAATCTCCCACAATTTAGAGGAGATTTAAAATACTCATATATATATAATAATGCACGGTATATTATTTCCTCCCTGGAATAGTGTATTCTTTAACGAAATATTTACAGCCATAAGCAAGTAGTCTACAATACAATCATAAGCTAGTAGTCAGCTAAATGGGCATTAAAGTAAAATTATTGAGCTCCAATCATCAAAGCATAAAATAACACTTACCGTTGAAATTTTTGATCAGCAATCTGCTTCACGCGAAGAAATTGTTTCATCATTTTGAATGAATATATATTTTTCTCACAGATAGGGTAAGATATTAATCCAAAATCCTCATAAAATAAAAAATAGAAAACTGTACATCCTCATCTTAAAAATACAAAACGTCATAACTCAAACAAAACGCTTGTCTTCGGTACTTCATTCACACAGAGCGATGCTCACTTCAGCAATGCTTATCAAAAGTTGAAGAAGCGATGCAGACGATGAAAACCAACAACAACAACGCCGCTAACGCATGCGCAGAATGAAGAAATTTTCCTCCTCGTGACTCTTCTTCGCATAGGGTATCATCACGGGAAAATAGAATACGGCTTGTCACTAGATGCCTTATTTCAAAAACTACTCTAATAAACAGTTTTTATTTCTGGACAGGAGCCTTTATTTATTTATTTCTTTAGAAGCAGTAATCTTATACTGCAGTATCTATGTAATCCATTGGGATATGTGACGACATCTGCCCCCCCCAAAAAAAACGAAGGGCAACATCTTGAAAATAGTGCTGGACATTTCTGTTAAAGGGTGTTCAAAGAGCAACTTTCATACTAAGATTAAGAATTTGAAATATTTATGTTATCGCATTCATTAAAAGATTAATTCCAGAATAGGATTAATAAAAAGAGTAAAATAACCTTAACCTGAGTTTAAATAATTAGATGGCAATGAAAGGCCGAATATGGTTAGTTCTTATTTATTACCGATGTTGCATAGTTGGTCTTTCCATAATAATGAAACATAATAATTTCCATAATAATGGAATGTCTTTCCATAATATGAAAGATTTCTTAATTAGGTAATAACCTATTAAGAAATCTTTCATACTTCAAGTTCTCATATTTACAAACTTGCGTAGGAGTTTTAAGTTGGATTAGAAATGTATGTTCGCTTAGTACATCTTCATGCTCGTAAAGTAAGCATGCATCCTCGCGAGTTAAAATTTAGTTAGTTAATTCTTCCCTTAGATGAACAAACGCAGCTGCGACAAAGCTTCGGACCACGGAGTTATGAACAAACGCAGAGGGTTTATTAATTGACTTTATGCATAAAAAGGAAAATCCTCTGTAGCTTCATTTCTTAATCTAAAAAAGACGGTCTTGCTTAAGAAAATATTACCAGTCCATAAACCTGAGAAGACACTTTTTAAAAAGACGACATTTACTTTTCATCCCATTTCTTGTTCTATAAATTTTTAAAAGCAACTTTTTATAAAACAGAAAAGAATACAAAGACGTTATGCATCTGTGCACGTGATCCACGTAAAAGCTGAATTCATTATTTTATTATTTTCAACTATTTAATCTAAATTTTGTTTCATCTTTATCATCATTTTCATCTTATTATGGACTTTGCCCGGTACCAAGGTTGCTGACTTTATCATCATTAAATTCGTATATCATGAGGCAGTCTACATAATTCAATCATTTTTAAAGCAAAAAATGTACAATTTACGAACATATAAGAGTAAAGAAACTGAGATTACTCAGCTGGGTAACAGAGTGGATATATATATAAATATATTTATATACGTTCGGTGCGGCCGATTGCAACCAAAATACGAGGTGCACATCTACATGTTATAGCAGTCCTATATACAAAATTTCAACGTTCTGAGGCTACTCGTTTCTGAGTTATGCGAGATACGTACGTACATACGTTCGTACAGACGCCACGAAAAATTCTCTTCAAAATTCATTTTAAAGCAGTTTTATAAATTTTTTGAAGAAAAAGAGTATTTTATTCTGTCCCTATGTACAGAAATCAAGCAGCAACATCGTTAAATTGCATTCGATAGCGGTCAAAATGGATATTTTCCTTGAAATATGCTGCCTGAAACTCTTCGCGATTACAATACTTCCTTTTTACTTCGTACAAGGAAGTAGAAAGATGAACATAATATCAAGCAGACAAAAATAGACAAAAACTTCATTTAATTTTATTGTATCCGTACGAAGAATAGTGAATGGCGTAATTAGGAACTGACGAGGAAGATGTGATGGTTGCCCCTTTCTAAAAAATCATCACATAATTTTTAGAGGCTATCTTCGTTTTTCTTTTCTTTGTATCTAAGCGCCATTCAACTCTGCTTCAGAAACAGCGAATCTTTGTTTCACTTAAAATTTTTCCAATGTGATTTGTTGTTAAATACATTTTGAAATGTTTCTAAAGTGAGACATGGCATTCTCATTAAAAATTCTTATACTATAGCTTGCTGCTGGTTTATCAGAGTGACATCTTTCCTTGGAAACTTTTCATCTTACTGCAATTTGTACAAATTTTGTTTATTGGTGACCAGATTCCGAAGTTCAAAATTCGGGACACTATATATATATAATTTTTGGTACTATTCCGTGTTGAGGACCGTAAAAAAATTGCAGCAAAATTGTATGCGCAAAAGCGCCAAATCTAGCAACGCACCCACTTAACAGCGTGCCAAATCTAGCATACGCGCTGATTTCAAATTGCGTAAGTTTAGATATTTCTATATTTCTTAAGACGCCATTGAAATACTAGTTTAACTGTTAAATCCTTTTTTGATATCCTATGGATTTAACAATTTGGGAATTGTTCATGACGAAAAGTCTGCAATAGAATTTTTCAAAGAAAAGTTAGATGAAAGGTTAATTTCATGTAATACTTTTGTAATATTATAATTTATATAAAAGAAGGTTAAACATAACTAAATGGAAGCATAAGAGTAAATAACTATTTCAGATCATTATTATAATTTATATATAAAAAAAAGGCTAAACATAACTGAATGGATTCCTGCATTGCTAATTCGCTATCGAGTTATCACCAAAGCATAATTTCATCTCGTTGGTTGTTCAAACATAATTTTCTATAATGAATGATACCCTTAAAACAATAATCTTAGATAGTTATTTACTATTATACTTCCTTTCTTGCGTTAGGGTGACCGGAATTAGTTTTGGCAGCACTGTCATCAACAATAGTTTGCCGATTTTTATGGTCCTCAAAACGGAATAGTACCTAATTTTTTAAATATATTTTTTTTTTACAACTAAGTCATTTGATTATTTTTCTTAGTGTGTTGGAGGTGGTACATAGGTCAAAATATAAATATATACTAATCAAAAAATTTTTTAGTTTTTAATAGCGATTTATTCTATTTTTAATAAATAAAGAATAAATCAAAATGCAGTATTCCTTTTTAAATAAAAAAAGTAAATTTGTAACCCTTCTAAATTATTTTGATGAAAGTATCCTGATATTTCTCTGAAGCATAACTATTTTTCTTTTTTGATCTTCTTATAAAAGTACGTGCCATTTTCATCGAAATTAATTTTGGTGATACGTGTCCATTTAAGCTGTATCTTATCGCTAGTAGAAAAATTGTTCATAATGCTAAATACTCGCTCCATTGCAGCATTAGTGCCAGGAAGAACAAAGAGAAACTCTGGCAATTTAAAAATATTTGACAAGGAACCTGGTTCTTATTAAAGTATGCAGTTATATATCTATCCATCTCTGAATTGGGTGCATCTAATTTTATTTTTAGTATTCCAATATTTTTTTCCGTAATATATTGTTTAAAAGTAAACATATTTCTCATATATATCAATTTCCAATAATTTATGATTTTGTTTCCTTTTATTAATTAACAAAAAGGCTATTTCAACTTGACTGCAAGAAATGATTTTATTTAATATGATCCACCTGTACATTTCCATTTCCTGAAATACTTTTTGGTCTCTATCTTGCTCAATACTGGAGCTTTCAGAGTATCCATTAAAGGAATTACATCAAATACAGATGCAGTTTGATTTTTAATTATTGTAATAACTTTATGAAATATTGAAGCCTGAGTGTTAATTGAATGTAGCCAAGCATCGTCCACTGGATTTTCAAAGAATTTTAAAATAAGCATGGCCTACTTTTCTTGAGATTGAAAATAAACCTTAAGTGGTAAAAACGACTGGAGTACCTATTCAAAGGCAAGAAGTAATGCTAACCATCTTGTTTGTGAATACCCTAGTATTAAAAAATCGGTTTCTACGAAGTTGCAGAAATTTTTAACTGTTTCCACTCTAATAGTATAAGATTTAAAGTATATCTTAGGCATAATCGTTTCTACATCAACTGACAAAACATCAGCTGATGTCCTTATAGTATTGGCCCACTAGCGGCCGAGCGGTAAAGTCGCTGAACACTGGTAGTTCGGTCCGAGGTTCGAATCCTGCGAACGGGCTGGCTCTATGGGTGTTTTCGTGGTTTTCCCCATGTGTAACGTGTATATGAGCCACTTTCCCTTAGAAAGTCCTCCATGAAGGCATCCCCCCTTTAGACAGATAGCCCTCGAGGCTTTGCTGCAATTGAATAACCTAACCTAACCTTATAGTATTATGGATAATATGCCTGCACATCAGACTCCAATTAAACCATGGTTAAGGTTTCGTTTCAATTCAACAAAACATTACTTTCTCCACGTCTATATATTCCTGCAAAGATAGAATTCGGCCAATAACCTTTCCTTTTAAATTATTTTACTGAAAACAGGTAGTTAATAACTGCTGACAATATCGGTTGTTTCAACCAGGTAAGGATTTAAATTCTAAAAGTTTTATTCTAACTCCGTAACTCCAATCTATAAATCTAATAGATATTGGAAGAAGTTTTATTTCCTTGCGTTTGGACGCATCAGTTAAGACTGAAAGAAATGAACATTTTCACAAAAACCTGAGTAAAGCTCATAAAGCGTAAGGCATGAAAACATTTAGCACTATTGCTTGGCTTTTAATTCGCATACATGCAAATTTAGGCTCAAATGCCACTTGAACGTCCAATCCATAGACTATTGACCTAAAGCTATGGTTGTGGCAAATACAGTGAAGTGCAATTGAATTAGGAATAACTAGTTAATAACGAGTTGTGTCTCCTTCTTGACAATGGTTGGCACACGAAGAGGCAAAGATACAGTTAGTTTGTGGAAGTATTCTACGGAAATGGCTTGCCAAACATCGGATAGAGCTGTCCATAATTTAGAAAGTGTTGGCAGTGTTGTGTGATGTGGTTTCACACCTTTCTCCAAAACATCAAAAAGGTGCTCAATAGAATTTAAGTCAGGGCTTCTAGATAGTCAATTTATGACCGAGAAATCAAAAGAATGCTCATCCAACCAAGCAGCAGACAATGGGACCTGTGAAAGGTGCAGTTATCTTGCTGGGATTCTCTTTTCCATGTGAATGGAGGGAAAGCATAAATGGATGGAGATAACGCTCAGCAACTCTATGTACTGTATCATATTGAGGTTGGTACAAGTATCAAAGATTCCAAATACTGCCAAGAGAAAACACTTTAGACCATGACTGAGCCGCCATGGTCTTTACAGTTCCAACCTGGCATGCAGGATCTATGGCTTCATTAGCCTGACGCCATGTTCTCAGCCTGACATCGGTATTAACTACTCGGAATCAAGCCTCATCACTCCATGCTACTCGTTTCCAATCCTCTGGAGTCTATTCTCTTTACCCAGGCAAGAAGTGAAGCTCGATGGAATGCATTCAGCAGGGGTACTTTCGTGGGCCTACGGTTTCTGAAGCCCTTATGGTGAAGCGAGTTTTGCATGATCCGTTTACTGACTATACGACTGTTGCCCTGATGCAGCTGAGTGGTAATTTTAGCTAATGTTTGGCTTCGGTGACTGGGTACAATAGGCTGAGCCTTCTCATACTCCACTCATTCGAAGCCAATTGTTCTTTACAATCTGCCCCATCTCTAGTTTTTTTTTTCCACCATCCGTGTATTCTTAGTGTACTTTAGACATTCTCGAACTTGAAATTCCTAACCCTCTGACGATTTCGGAAATTGAATGGCCCATGCGTCGAGAGCCTACTATCTGTCTGCGATATAAGCTGTCTAAATCAGAAGTTTTACTTGTACTGGTAATTGAAACAACTGATTAACAGCAATCATAGTACTAGCTATACATGCAGTTACCACAACAGCCTCGCGTGAGCATAAGTGCGGCCCAGCGCTACAAAATTTACATAACCATGTCTATCCTTCATTCAATGTAGTATGTTATACCAAAGTACCTTTTACTGTAGCTAATTCTTCTTTCTTATCACCCATTTTCTTCTGTTTGAAGAAACTATTTAATGAAGAGCTAGATGTAGCAGTAGAGTTTGACATTTTGTGTTTATTACTATGTATAAGAAGTTTAATATCTATACATCTCCCATGGCTTAATGAAAATTTTGAAGAAAATGCATTGCACCATACATCGGAATTGATTATAGTTTTTTCGATAAATGGATATTCCTTCTGCAGGTCTTCGTTAAATGTACACATTCTTTTTTTTTTTTTTGAACCCTTTACTAAAAAACATCAATGGCAAAAATACATAACAAATTAAACTACAGTGAAACGTTCCCTTAGCACATACGTAATGCACCATTGATAATTAAGAAATGCATGTTGTTGCTAAACAAGAAACGTTATTACACGTCATCGTTTCAGCAGATTTTTTGAAATTTTTTCACCCTTATGCTAAATCAAAACAACGAAGGAGTAAACATTTTACGATCTAAACATGACAAAAGAAAGATGATTTTAGATGGATATGCCTACAATGAAATTTAAGCAAATGGATAAAAGAACTATTTTTAGATCTGTAATAATGTGTAAGAGATAATGTATACTAATGTATGTAATGCATCGTTGAACATGCATGCAATGCACAATTACAGTTAAAAATTATATGTATATAATATAATTTCAAGCCTGAATTGAATTAATATATCATTTAAAAATTGCCGTGCTGTCTGTAAGTGAAAGTCTGAACTGCAACTAGAACTGTGAGAAAAAATTCAATGCATATTTGGGAAGATGTTGGGAACAGAAATAGAACCCACCCATTGCAGATTTTCCAAGGTAAACGTTAGATGAAGAATCCCCTGTTTATGCGTCCGGTATGGCATGTGTCTCTTAACTTATGCTTGTATTCTCAGTTTGCAATCTACACAATTAGGTTATTCAATTACGGCAAAGCACACAAGGGCTATCTGCCTAAAAAGAGGGATGCCTTCGTGGAGGACTTTCTAAAGGGAAACTGGTTCGTATACACATTACACATGGGGAAAACCACGAAAACGACCATGCAGCTAGCCCGCTCGTGGGATTCAAACCCTCGGACCGAACTACCAGTGTTCAGCGTCTTTACTGCTCGGCCGCTGGTAGGCATATAAGCATTTGAACTTGGCGTTCAATATAGCATTTGTTCAAGTTCTAACAAATATTGAACAATTTAAAAATTAGTTGCTACCAGAGCTGACTACCTAAGGTTTTAATACATTTCTTTTCTGAATATAATTTCTGTCTCAGACAAAACTGATTTTCTTAGTCAATAAGATAAATAATAGAAAAGCATTATCCCTTCTATGTTACATATCTTATGAGAATAAGATAACAAAGAACTGGAAGATAAAGAACAATTTATTTGACAGCAACAGTTGCTATAAATAAGATTCCATTTGTACTAATTTACAATTGAGAATGTACATTTATAAACCATATATGGAAAAGACTAGCATATATTCAGTTGGAATGTTGTTTCAGTACAACACTTTATAAAATATTATAGTCCAGTCAATCCATAGCAGATGCTACAGAATCAGTTCTGTGCATTTCCAAGAGTTCAGGAAACAGTTCAACAGCCAAGATGTCTAAAAGTACATAGGAGATCTGAAACAATATAAAATTCAGGCAATTAAAACTGTTTTCAAAATCTTGCATTTATTATTCTACCAAGAATTAAACAATTACAACATTTATAACAAATAAGCACATAAATTTTCTCTCAATATTTATCTTTCTAATATTGGAAATGGCATAGGACAGTCAGCAAATGTATACAAAAATAAAACTACAAGAAATACTGACATAGGAACCAGTTTCATTTATTCATAATACAGTCAAAAGTCGTTAATCCGGACTCGTCGGGACTTCGGCGATTCCGGATTATAGATCATCAGTTTAAATCTGGTAAAATGGCATGCAGAAATTATAAAATTAAAAATATGAAACCGTAATTTACGAAATAAAGAACAATTATGATCTAAAGGGTATCAAAATTTACAAAAAAAAAAAAAAAAAAAAAAAAAAAAAAAGCTTAATATTTATTTGTTTACTTTATTAAACATTTCTTTCAATGTAAGTTGTTTAAGTTGCTTCGTTTTTTATGTGATAATACATTCTCTTTAATTCTATAAACAGACATAATTTCTTGTTCAGTTACAAAGTTCCGCTGTTCAAGTCCTATAATTGCTGTGTGTCGAGAATACCGACTAATTTGTCAATCGAAATTTTTTTTCGTTTTCAATAACCTCTGTCACTTTCTTCGCTATCGGAAGCGAATTATAATGACGAGGCATTTGATTTAAATCATATCAAAGACGGAGTACATCGAGATGAAATACTACATTTAGTAAGCAATTATAAGCCAAATAAAATAAAAACATCTGCCCTTAAGATAAGGATATAGTGCTGACAGATCAACTTCCAATTCGCTGCCGCGGCGTTAAAGATAAACAAAGTTTAGATAAACAAACGTTAAAGTTTAGATAAACAAAGGATATGCCTTTTTTATCCATTTTTTGCAGCAATTCCACTTTTTGTTTAATGGACTCCGAAAGATACTTTCGCTTTGTATAGATCCTTTACATATTAGTAAATATAAATCGGAAATTCTATTTGACATAATCGAAAGTTCAAGCTTACTTTTATAAAATTGCTCTAACAGTCTGCAAAAAATAATAAGCCGGATCCAATTCGAAGATTAAGGACAACGCAATCTGCAACATTAACTGAAATAGATAATTAGATAATTTTAGCTTAGCTTATACCGTCCGTTATACATTAAACGCGCGTTCATAAACGTATTTTGCGCACACGCACACGCAAATTCGCAGGCGTAAAGGTCTTACGCGCATGCGTCAAAAGACGCATGCGCAGAAAGTTTGTAGCTTTGAGGTCCGGATTATAGATCATTCCGGATTATGGGTGTCCGAATTAACGACTTTTGACTGAATTTTTACCCATGTTCAGGCTCTTATTCCACAGATGAATGATGGCATCAGATTTCTAATATCAGCTGCATCCAAATCTTTTCATTGCTGGTGCATGGTTTGATTGCATTCATGCAGCACAAGGTCTGGCATTATCCTGACACTTACTGTTGAAACTACATTCAAAGACAAAAAAAAAAAAAAAAAAAGGGGGGTGACGCACCAAGAAGGACTAACGCAAATTGGACACGAATTGATATGCATACATGTTTTGATGGAAAAGGTAAAATTTTAAAGTTTGGCAGAGAATGAATGGACATAAGAAGCTGCAATCCAACTTAAATGTGCAACTGGCAGGACATTAACCCCTTGTCTGTGACACCTGAACTCAGTTCGGGCAATGCAAATGCGTCGATTTTGGAATGCCCGAGCTGAGTTCGGGCAAGAGAAAAATCGATGTTTCAATTCCGTGAAGCCCAAACTCAGTTCGTCCAATGCCTAATATGTGATTTACCATTTTCCGAATATACGGGCCTGAAATTTACAAATATACGAGCAATCAGAAAGGAGATACCACTCGATTTAAAAAAAAGAGAGAGAAAGGTGACATTTTGGCTTTTCAGCATGGGAAATTAACAGTCCTCTAAAATGGCATGATAAAAAGAAATTTACCTGCTTTCTTCAGTCCACACTGCAGAAATGATTGAGACGGAAGATCGGAAGGAGCAAAAGAAACCAAAACCTAAAGTCAGTTGCTGACTGTAACAACACTATGAAAGTGTTGATAAAGTTGATCAACACCTTACAGACTGTCCCATGGCCAGAAAGTGTTGAAAGAAACACTATGTAAAGATATTTTCTATCTTCTGGATCAAGCACTTTGGAATTCCTTTATTATTTATCAGTCATCATGCAGTGGAAAATGTAATATGAACTATAGAATCTTAATTGTGGAACAAATCTTGAAGGTATATATTCAGCCATATATCAGCCTGTCGGCTGAATATATAGCTTGAAGCCATATATTCAGCCGACAGGACAAGGTTGTCATAATATGAAGTTGCGACTTATGGGTCAACACTTTCCTGAACATATTCCACCAACGGAGAAAAAGACTACTCCAACCAGACAATGTTCCCTTTGTTGTCGTAAAACTGATGAAAACGGAGAGTAGATACAACGCGAGACTCCAGTTTATTGTAAAGATTGTGATGTAGACTTGTGTGCTGTGCCATGCTTTCGTATATACCATTTTGATGATAATGAACAAAATTAAAGAGAAAAAAAATTTCCATTTTTGCCATGTTTTTCTTAAATATATTCCATGTGTAAGGGGTTAAAGAAGAGACTTTGCATTTCCAGGTCATACATTCTTTGTGAATTTCATTCCATGTACTCAGTAACTATGCCTCACATACGAGGGCTATCCAGAAAGTAGATTACGTTTTGGAATAAAAAAATAAACAAAGTATAGGAAACAAATTTTATTATATACAGATGAAAGCCACACTCAAATACTACTTTTCTACATAGTCACCATACAAATTAAGGCATTTATCGTAGCGATGTACGAGCTTGGAAATTCCTTCGTCGAAAAAATTCGGCCCGCCTGCGCCTTCAACCACTTCGTTACCTCTTCTTGCCTTCCATCTTGCACAAAACTTGTGGTAACCAAGCTTTTCGCTGATGATTTCGTGCAACCAAACTTCGCGAAATTTGTGGGAAAACTCAGAAAGTTCCGTTATTGTGAAATTTCGATTTTCAGGACTTTAGCATCGACTTTTTCGAGAAGTTCGGCGGTCACTATGCTGGGTCTTCCCACTTCGATCTTCGTCGTGAACATTGGTTCGGCCATTTTGAAATCTTATGACGCACTCCACCTCAGTGATAACGTTGTCCCCATACACTTCACGAAGCTGCCGATAGATTTCTATCGGTTTACAGTTTTTTGCAGTCAGAAACCTATATACTGAGCACACCTCGCAGCTCGCGGGATTTTCAATTAACGCAGACATTTCAAACTGTCACAGTATCTGAACGGAGCACAGCACGAACCTCTCACTAGCACGGCTAGATGCACTGAGCTGCGCAACGCTCTGACCCCAAGATGGCCGCGCTAGCCCCGCCCCTAGCGGACACAGACGGAAACGTAATCTACTTCCTGGATGGCCCTCGTACAAGTGGAGAAACAGTATATGCAGATGACAGCATTTGGAAGAGGATGTGTAGTTGGGTTCAAAGAAGTCGACTGGTCTAATTGACAAATTCCTCAACATTTGGATAGGAGCGATGCCACTATTAGACGATGTTGGTGGGAATGGCCGCCCCATAGTCAAACACAATGTCAAGAAGGGAGATGATAGAAGAGGACAGATCAATCATCAGAGCGAGACTCAGAGCCCCAGATCCTATGTGCAACTGGTGCTTCAGTGATTGCAAGGACCCTTAATAGGCAGCTCAGAGGAAGATGACTGAGGTCGCTGTGCTCCTTGCACTGACTACCATTAACCTCTGTACACTGACAGGACCGTTTGCATTGGTGTTGGACACATTCGACCTGGGAATGTTCCTTGCGACAGCAGAATCGTCTTTGGTGATGAATCCTGCTTCAAACTGAGCCCTAATGTCCAGCAAAGATGTGTCTGGAGATGCCTTGGACAGCAGTGGGATACCAAGCTGACTGTCATTTGCCATAAGGCTAAACAACCAGGAGTGATAGTCTCAGGTGCTATTTTATTTAATAGCAGGATCCCTTAGGTTGTTGTCCGTGAACACGCTTACAGCACAGCGGTATGTCAATGGTATTCTATGCCCCATTGTGCTGCCCTTCATATTCATGACCTCCTGGGCTTATATTTCAGCAAGATAAAGCTCGCTGCTCACTGCTGTAGTTTCTACTGCTTGGCTTTGTGCTTGCCCAATATTGCCCTGCCAGCAAGGTTGCCAGATCTCTCCCCCCATTGAGCATGTCTGGAGCATTATGGGAAAGGCCTTCCAACCAGCACAGATTTTGCTGATCTAACTTGCTAATTGGACAGATTTGGCACAATATCTCGCAGAAGGACATCCGCCAACTCCTCTCAATCAAGCTGAATAACTGCTTGTATAAGAATCAGAGGTGGACCAAAGTGTTACTGACTTGCAAAGGTCTTTTTCTTGAAATCACCCAATTTTTCTAAAATTGTATAATTTGTTTTTCTGTACATGTACATTACATCTACTAATTTTTCACTAAGAAGTGAAAACAACAGCCATTTTTAAAAATGATAGCACTTAAGAATTACATATACCAGCAATTAACTGACAAAACTCTAAATGGGGGGGGGGACCCACAATAAAACAATTATCTTTTCCACTCCCTTTTTTGCCTCTTCTCCCCATATATACAGCAATCTGTTTTAGCTTTAAAAAACACCACAGAACCACAGAAACTTGGCACTGCGTACACTGTCGGTTCTCTCTATGTACACAATATGTTTCAGAAAACTCTTTCTGATGTTGTTAAAACATCAGAGAATTGCATAAATTTGGCATCAGCACATAAACTCCGGTCCATAAAATTCAGTTGCTTAAGAAATACAGCTTTCATGGATTTTGAATTTTTGCATGAGCATTTTTGCTTTGCTGAGCAAATTGCCACATTTCTGAAGAAATGCAGTGTTTTCTTTTTCATCAGCTAACAAACTCCACACTACTATGATTTCTTACATTGGAAAATATACATACATATATATATATATATATATATATACTAAATATGCACTACTGAATCTGAAAATGTAGTCTTCAGCTGAAATTGGTGCTTGTCAGCTGCTCACATATCAGTTGCTACATACATACATTTTACAGTCATCAAAGGTTGCCTATTTTAGCAATATAATGTATTGCCTTATGAATGCATTTCCGGAGCTATGGATAATCAGAGATTACCAATAGACCTTTAAAAAAAATTCCAAGGAAAATTTTAAGAGGTAAGATAAAAATCTGGAAACTTTCCTGATTAGGATTAACAAAGTTTGGATACTAAATGGTATATATTTTGAATGAGATGAAGCTTTCATATGTTATGATGAAACATTTTTTGATTGTGGGCATACACAATAAATAAAAAAAAAAAAAAAAAAAACAGATAGTAAATTGCCACATGTAAATGTAGGGGAAAAAAAAAATGTAGTGACAGCAGATAAGGGAATTGTTTAAAATAACAGAAGGTATACAAGTTCTTAATGATGGTAAAAGGTAGTTTATACCGTTCTATTATAAACAGTTTCACCTGAAAGATGCTGGTAAAAGAAAACAGGATCTCACTTTTATTTTCTGATTACAGTGGTTTAATGATTATTTGAATCTTGTGATTGTACAGGCCAGGGAAGATGAGTAACTCCATATTCTTTAAATATAACTGAAAAATTTCATTTTGATGAATAAAGGCATTATGATCTTGAAAGATGCAGTTATTCACAGGAAAGCGTATCTGTGGCATTGAATAGAAACAGTCACTTGAAATGGTTATGTGGTCAATGATATTTATTTTTTCTTTTTAACAAAGTGATTATTATATTTTCTACAAATCAAAACGTGACTGCTCAACATATAACTGAACTTCAGCCTGTTTTGCAGTACGAAGATATAATCCAAATAGCATCAACAATCTAATTTCTTTGGATCTTTCTAGCTTTAGCTATTCTTTACAAAACTAAGTGTAGTTCATACATCAAATGCTAATCAAAAATTAAAACTTATCATTTATAAGCTATACGGATGTTTTAAAATTATGAATAAAGATTAAATATATATTTCTAAATTTACTAATAAACATTCAAGAATAAAAAATAACATAAAAGTGGAAGATAGCACACATAAGATAACAATATAGATCATTTTAAAAATACATGAAATTGACTTACTTGTTTATTAAGTAATGGATGCTGTAATATATCAAACAACAAGTTTATACTTTCATCAAATTTCTTTGTGATCATGAAACCTATTAAAATTAACAAAGCTATTCAATAATATAACTTTAAATAATGTATATAAATCAATTTAAAATACTTACACTAAACATAATTTATATATAAGAAAAATTAAGTTCTGATATACTATTATCTTTTCATGATAAAGTTTTTCATAAACCAGTTTTTATATCATAGCACTCAAAATTTTTATTATTCATTATTTAACAATAAAAAGCCACATTTAGTTCTGATATTATATTATATATTTCATGATAACGTTTTTTATATATCAGGTTTTAGGTAATATGATAAAAAATTTGTTATTGTTCATTAAATCCTTAAGAAGTAAAACATAATGTTATGAAGTAACATAAGAAATTTAAAATGAAAATCCATTAACTCCATCATTTAACCAAATAAAATATGTTTAGCATGTAAATGGAAATAAAATATTTCTGCCACACATAAGGAGGGGGAAAATAGGGGAAAGCACACTCATTTGAATTTGCAGAGAAATAAACATAACTACTGGGTGCAGAAACAACACAAAAGCATAGTGACATGAATGTTTCTGTAACATTTCTCAGGTTCTGCTATATAAAATTAGAGTAATACATGCATTTTCTAAAATAATTTGAAATATCCATCAGCAAGAAATTTCCAGGTTTGAAGATATATGAAATTCTAAATGACGAATGTAATTAATGAATACAAGAAAAATGACAGGAAGTGACAGTTGATGAAGCAAACAGAAAACATATATTTTTGTAAATTCAATGTTTTTTAAAATGTAAAACAGTTATTACAGTCAGACAAAACACATTTTGATAAAATAAGTTGCCACAATTATTTCCGTTATTGACTAACAGCCATTAGCAAATTTAAGGCTTCCAAGTTCAAAATAGGGAGATGCCAATTCCCACAGGTTTTTAGAAATGTAGTGTGACGTGCAATTTTGCAGATGTATTCTATGAAACTGGCAACATCACCAAAAATCATATCAAATTGGCTCAAGAGTAAGAACACTTCATTTGTTGCTTGTGTTGGCTATATTAAGAGCTTGGTGACAAAGGCAGAACAGCAACAGACAACTAGAAACAGCCTGTTGATATTAAGCAGATACTGATAGTGAAGAATCAGTATAATATTTATAAACTTGTATGACTAATATCAATCAATCAAACTTCTAGGATTAATTTGTAAACCTCCAATAATTATTATTCAGCATGTTATTTTAACTCAGATTAAAGACAGTTCAACTGTGAGTATAAGACTTCACTCACAGATCTCCAAGTGTGTGATTAAGCCTTGTTTCCACAGAAATGTATGATATAAAAATTACTGAAAAATAAATATATAAATAAATTCAAGATGAATAAAATTTACTGTTGAATATACACAATTAGCAAGGGTATTCTTTAAGTAAAGAATCAATGGCAAAAATTAATTTTATTTTAAAAATATAAACATTTAGTTTTACTTGCAATGCTCAACTTTATGTTCTTTGCTTTCAGAGCATATTTTCAATGTGACCACAATGAATTCTGGTATTATATATGAGTTTTAAAAAAGTGGTTACAGGCTATATTTCTTTGAATATTGGTCATTTTATATCAATAAATTTTCTGAAAGCAGTTTTAGAATGTAACTGCAGTGGCTCTGTAAATACAAAACATTCATCAAGAAAAATTTTATGTGGTTTCAAGGAAAAAAATGCTAATTAATAAATTACCGATTGCTACAGTATGCAAGTTTGCATGTAAACTAAGTACATTTATGTATAGAACAGATAGACTAAAATCAGTTAAATCCTTTTTCAGTAAAAAGAGTTGTCATAAGGGCTGGATTAAGATTTTTAGAGGCCCTAAGTACTTTAAAGATTTTGGTGCCCATATATTTACTTCTTCCCCTTATTTCTTTTTTCTAGGTCATAGTTTAGCTGCAACATTCTGTGGTAAAACTCAGAATGGAAATTTTTCATGGTGCCCTCTTTCCTTTGATACTCTAAGCATGTCCTTTTTTGATTTAATTGTTAATCCAGTTCTGGTTATAATAATTATTTTAGCCATGTATTAAGATGGATGGCCTTTAACAGATTTAAGGCTAGTCAGTCTCTCTGGGCATGGTAAAATAAGTAACTAAAATTAATGTTCTATAACTTTACATGCAAAATTTGCAAATCTATTTGCTAACAAATTCACAGACTTAGATCAGTTTTCAGTATCCATTACTGAAGAAAATTAAATTTTTTTTATCAGATTTAGAAAACAATACAATAAGATGTTATTTTCTTCTTTGTGATAATTGAGTTTTTAATGGATATACAAGTCATTATTAAATTTAGAATCAGCCTTATAAAAAGATTAACAATAAATATATCTTCAAAAAATCTTTTATGTATAAGTATGGAATGCTTTATATTTTTATATTTTACTTATTAATGAATAAATCACTGATTCGAATTTTGAACACTGTATGAAAATTCTGCATTGAAAGAATGGTTAGGTTAGGTTAGGTTATTTAATTATGGCAAAGCTTCAAGGGTTATTTGCCAAAGGGGAGGGATGCCTTCGTGGAGGACTTTCTAAGGAAACTGACTTGTATACATGTTACACATGGGGAAAACCACGAAAATACCCATGCAGCCAGCCCGTTCGTGGGATTGGAACCTCAGACCGAACTACCAGTGTTCAGCAACTTTACCGCTCGGCCACTGGTGGGCCATTGAAAGAATGTTTCCATCCACAGTGTAAAAAAGGCTTTGATAAAATTCTCTACTTTCTGTAATTTCTTGATGAATGCTTTAAGTTGCACGTGTCTGGTCATCTGAAACAACTTTATTCTGCAAATGGATATATAGCCCAGAACCATATTTAAAGAAATAAAGCATGCAGTAACCTTTATCATTCTCTACATTAATAATAAAGAAGTATTACATCAAAGGCAAAAATATTTTTACGACAGAATATTCCATTTAAATCAAGGGGAGGGGGCATTAAGTATAGTTTTTAATATATAAAAGATTTTGTATTAAGAAGAAGAAAAGAAATAACTGATCAACAAAAATTAATCACAAAATTAAACAACTCATTAAAATATTTTTTTGTTATTGTTGTTTATGAGTAAACTGTAATCGCACTAGGAAAAAAATCTTTGGTTTGTTTCAATGCTTGTCTGGCTCGTTCTGCTTTTTGTCTTCTAGATCTAGAGCAAAAGAAATTTGAAATAAAAAAGTAATCAGTGTTCATACTTAAAGATGCATGAAATGTAGATATATTTGTAAGAAAGTAAATTTTAAATGCATTTAATGTTTATTTTCTATCTAAATAGGTACATACCGAGGTGGATCATCTTCAAAAAAGAGAGCATCTAAATTAAAAAAAAGGGGGGGAAATAAATTTAAATATATTTTAACCCATTAAAATATCATTTAAAACAAATGTAATGCATTAATAAAAAAATTCTCTCAATTCAATGAAAAATATACATTTATGCAATTAATTAACATTACAAATATGAAATACTATGCATTTGTTACTAAAATCTATAAACAGTAGTGTTTACAAATCAAATACTGAGGTTAATAAAATTATAAGCCATTACTTAGGGAAAGGGGAATTTGTTTGAAAAATATTGTCAAAATAATATACTAAAATAATTCTTGTTTTTACATAAAATTTTTAAAGGTGAATGTATTTTATACATGATGAAATGCAAATATACTTATTAGAAAATTAAATATTAAGTACATCACTTATTTACCACGTAATAAATTAAGCAGTTCTGCCAATCTTTGAGGCTTGAATGCCTGCTGTAGTTTGACATCTAAATACCATTCAACACCAGCCTGAAGAGTTTGCCTTATTAATATATCACAGGTAGCAAATAGTTGAATAACATAATCAGGAACATGAACAACTTCAACAGCTTAAAAATAATGAAAGAAAAAATTATTGATATTTTTGGCTGTCAAAAAGCAATTAAAAATGAAAACAAAATGAATAACATTCATTCAGTAGAATTTTATGAAACATAATTTAAAAAATGAACAAGGAAGCCAAATGATTAGGAACAAACTGCTAATACATTATGTACTAGTTGGAATATGACAGATTTTGAGCTTTTGGAATCAGCTTGTTGCTTCCAAAAAATAATAGTGTCTAAAAATAACATTATCATTTACAAATTCTATTTTTTACATAAGGAAAAGAATTTCTCTTAAATCTCCTCATGAACACATTCACCAAAGTGCAGTTAGTTGAAGTATGTAATCATCGCCAAGTATAATGTCAACAGAAAAAGATTACCATGGTCTTTGGTACTCTCAATTACTAATATTAAAAAATCTGATGTGTGCACCATGACTTCCTTGTATGGAATATTAAATTATACACATTTTTTCTTGCATTTCATTTAAACTTATTGGATTGAATTAAATCTACTTCGCTGACAACACATAAACCACGATAGAATAAATGCATTCTTTAAAATTCCCTCTAGTATTTGTTTACCATAGCGACACTCTGGCACTAGATTTACTTAACAGTATTATATTTCGTTCATATTATAACTTATAATGCACAAAATTTATATCATTTAAAGAATAGAATTATCTAATCCTTGCCATATGTTCTATTCAAATACTATTATAAAGCTAGAATGATGTAAAAAAGAAATTAAGCAAATAAAACAAAAAAGAAACAGTTTTTCACAGACGATTGAGTATTTCTCATTCAATTAATTCAGTTCTCACTTCGCGAGAAGGCAAAAATACATAAAAACTCAAAATATCTATTTTAAAAATTATGAAATGAATCTTAAACACTTATTTCCTCGAAAAAATTCCAGAAAGGTTTAAGCATGATTTAATTAGCAATAATAAATGAAGGCATTATCTTTGTTGTTGCGAAGCTAAGTTTCTCTAGATTGGCAACAAATCCACTAGTCTGCTGTTTCAAATGTAAACAAACAATGGCCGCCATCAAGAAAAGGATTAGGCTTAGCGGCACTTAAACAACTTTAAAATTGTTGATAATTCTAAAAATATTGCATAGAGATTTACTAAAGGCATAACAACCTTAACCGGAAGATAAAAACAACATAATTCAATCATTTTTAAAGGAAAATATGTACAATTTAAAATATATAAGAGTAAAGAAACTGAGATCACTGAGCCGGGTAACAGAGTGGATATATATATATATAAATATATTTATGTCCTATATACAAAATTTCAACATTCTGAGGCTACTGGTTTTTGAGTTATGCAAGATACGTACGTACATACATTCATACAGACGCCACGAAAAATTCTCTTCAGAATTAATTTTAAAGCAGTTTTATAATTTTTTTTCAGGAAACAAGCCTTTTATTCTGTCCTTAAGTACCGATATCACGCAAAAAACATCATTAAATTGCATTCGATTGCGGTCCAAATGGAAATTTTCATTGAAATATGCTGCCTGAAACTTTTCGCGATTACAATACTTCCTTTTTACTTCGTACAAGGAAGTAAAAAAAAAAAAAAAAAATAAATATATATATATATATAGACATTACTGTGCAAGTCTTTTCTCAAGCTGCCATGTGCTGACAGTCACGCAGTGATGAAGCAAAAAATAATAAATAATGATTCTCCAAGCTAGCATCAGAGATGTAAATTATTCAGTAGGTGTAAAATTAAGGGCATTTCAATGCAGAATATTTTGGTTTGAGAAGTAAGCCAAGCAGAAAAATAGCTGCAGAGTGAAAATATTGTTCATCCAGATTTTCACTAATAAATGATTATTTCTCCAGTATGGTGAATTTAATGAGGTGAAATTAAGAATCAGGACTCTTCATTAGTTTTATTATGAAAAAAGGTCCAATGCACATGTGTAACGAAATAAAAGTCAAAAAAAAAAAAAAAAAAAAAAAAAAAAAAAAGTTGCTGGCAGTTGGGAATTCCAGATTTTAGATCATTCCGCATACCGGACGTCAGAATTTTGGACTTTGTACTGTATACTGTAATTTTTTAACCTTGCGATTTTCAAAAATAAAATTAATAAAATGGAAGGGAGAAGAATATGCTATATGTATTGCTATTTACATGACTGTTTAAACAAAGTGAGTTAAGCTGTAGTTCTTGATGTAAAACTGCTACAATTTCAATCTACTTTTAAATGTTTTTATTTTTTGAAATATAATTTACCAGTAATTTTTAGCCTTAAAGATATGTAGTGTGTGTGTATATATATATATAACTCTATGTTCAAATACCTCATTTCATTTACTTTTCATTTATACAATACAGGCAATATCAGAGAGCTCTGAGGTTTGTGTGTGAGATTGGTCAACTTGATACTGCTGAAGTAATACAAAGTCTAAAATAGAGAAAACGAAGACAAGTAAGGAAAATCCATTTATAGAATAAATCGGCAAACTGAAGAAAGTGAAAGATACAGGCTTTAAAATACCTACTAAATATTTCAGGAAATTAAGACTCAAATTATGAGGACAAATTATAACATTCTATGATGTAAAATGTACTGCACATTAAAGTCCAGAACTTAAGGCATGTGTAATGCACTGGTAATTAAATAGATAATCTTTCTTCCCAATTGTAATTTATAGAATTTTCTGGCTGCTCTCATGTATTTTGACAGACCCCTGATTACTTTCTCGCCTCTTATAAATCGGTCATGTGCTCAAGTTCCTTCTCAGTTTTCTGCCGCTTTGATTACCGTTTATTATTTGCAAACTGAAGAATATAACAGATGCTCTCTCAAACTATCAAGTATAGAAGTGAAGACAAAAGCGTAAAAGAAATAACCATACCACAAAAGTTACATATTTTAGCTATGGTATGGTGCTCAAAATTTGAAATTTTGATACTTCATAATAAGTAAAATATATATTGCAAAACAATTAGTTTAAAAATATTTATAAAAAATTCTATTTCAGAAGCAAAAATAAGAATATTTAAAGTATTATCTTACCTATATATACTATATAATCATAAATTTCTTTTAAATCAATAACAGAGTGAATAGAAGGTCCAGAAAATGTGCCTCTTTGGAAATTTAAGGAAGCAAAATTATTCTTATACAATCCTGAGATCAACTGCAAAGAATAATACATAAAAGTGAGAAAACATATTGTTAAATGTCACAACTATGAAGCTAAAATTGAACAGATACTGTTAATACACTTAGGTTGCTATCCCACATCCAGTTGTTTCGGAAGAGCAACTGTTTGGAACAATTTTTCGGCTTTGTCACAACAGCCAATCACCACATATCATCTTGGGATAACACAGGGGAAACTGGTTCTCCATTACAAACAAAGCTAATAGCATTTGAAGCTGATAGGTTGAAAATGAAGAAATTGCATATTTTTCAAAAGGAAGGAAAAAGTCGCATGTCTTTCTTTCAGTAGTAAACCAGGCAGAAAAACTGTCTGAAACAGTTGTTCGTGCGAAACAAATACGGGGCCTTATTCATAGACAATTAAATAGTAAATTTCATCCTATATTATGAAAAAAAATTTTTTTTTAACTAGCCACATAATACAGTTATTTAGTTACACAGAGAGATTAAACAACAACGACAAAAAAAAAAAAAAAAAAAAAAAAAAAGAGACACCATGACAAATACTCAACAAAGGAATGTTGCAAAGCTATTCAACAAGCATTAGAATTATGTTCAATAGCAATATTACTATACATTTGTTATGCACTGTTAATGGCTAAAGCACTAATTTGATATTTTAATAATTTTCTTTTTTATCAATGAAATTTGCAGTTATTTCAATATGAAATCTAGATATGAACCTGATGTGTTATTAGATCTGAATTTTTAAGAAATTTATATCACATGGCTAAATATACAATTTGAAGCACTTTTAGTCAAACTAAAAGTGCTTCAAAATTTCACAACTTTCTATTTTAATGCTTCAATTTTATTATAAAATTAAGCACTAATTTAATTAAAACTGACAGCACAGAGTTTCTAATTGGGGTCACTACTGATTCACTGGTCAATAGCTGAATATGCATGAGCAACTGATCAGCATAGTAAAGATCCCATTGATAACAAAAAATATTAATATTGTAAAATTGATACTTAATGTTTTTTTGATATAAAGTTACATCATATAACGGGTGGCCATAATTAAATTGACAGTGCTCACAGTGTTCTGTAGCATGATCTATTTGCGAGAATGATGCCACATTTTGTAGGAAGATTAAACAAGACGGGGAACGAAGGATTCCGCGAAAAAAAAAAAAAGTTCCAAAAAGTCACCGCTAGGGGAATATTTGGCGCTGTGTAATAGAAAATAGAGTGTTAACAAATGCAAATCAATACGGAAATTACCTTTTATTTTGCATTCAAATGAGGTTCAACGTGGCTGCCGTTGTTGTGGACCACATATTGCATTCTGTGCACAGTATGCACAATAGCAGAAAGTAACATGTCTGCAGGAATCTCCCCGTACAGTCCGTGATATGTTATCCTTCAATGTAGCCAGGTCCTGGACCACTCCTTGATAGACCTTGGACTTAAGGTAAACCCATAGCCAGAAGTCGCATGGGATAAGATCAGGCGACCAAGGTGGCCATGCAGTTGGAAAGTAGCAGCTAATGACTCTTTCTGCTGTGAATTTCCGTCGTAGCATCTGTTGCACCCATACAGCAACGTGTGGAGGGGCTATATCTTGCATGAAAATGATTTGCCCCAGGCATTGTCTTTGCTGAAGTGGCGGAATAACATAGCTGTTTAACATGTGGCGATATTTCTCTCCGGTAACAGAACAGGTTTCCGGTCCTGTCGGGGTAATGTTCTCATAGAAGAATGGACCTTCGATAAATTCCGCTGTGAACCCACACCAAACAGTTACCTTGAATGTAAGGGAATTGCTGTGACTGCATGAGGTGATATGTCATCCCAAGTTTGGCAGTTCTGGGTATTCACAGTTCCATTCAGGTAAAAGTGGGCCTTGTCTCCCCATAAGATCATTCATCACGGCCAAGCATCATCCATCTCCATTCTGGCAAGAAAGGTGAGAGCAAAAGTCAATCGCTTATCATGGTCGGGGTACAATAACTCCTGTACGCGGCTAATCTTGTACGGATAGAAGTTGATAATCTTTCGTAACATTTTCCATATCGTACTGTAAGGCATATTCATATTCCATAAGGCATATCCATAATAAAAAGGTAATTTTATTTCGTATTAATTTGCATTTATTAACACTATTTTCTATTACACAGCACCAAATATTCCCCTAGCGGTGACTTTTGGAAACTAATTTTTTTTTCGCGGAATCCTTTCGTCCCCCGTCTTGTTTAATCTTCCTCAAGATGTGGGTCATTCTCACAAATAGATCGCGCTACAGAACACTGTGAGCACTATCAGTGTAATTATGGCCACCCGGTATTAAGGGAAAATCATATAAAAGAAATATAAGTGAAAAGTACACAAAAATTATAAAAAATTATTATTTTTAAAAATATATAATAAATAATTTTTTTACATATTTTTTTAAATATATAAATTTTTCTGTGCAAAAACTTCAGCATAAAAAAGTAAAATCCAGAAACGCAATAAAAACACAAAGAACACAAAACTTCTTCAGAAAATATATCATTACATACCCCTTGCAAAAGTTAAAAGATTTTAATGTTCACAGCTCCAATCACATAAAAATTTGAATGGGCCAGAATGGCTTATACAACTGCTAATCTGTGATATATTTGATCCTGATATTATGTTGCAATAAGAGTTGATCACATGAAGAAGGATGCCCAAGCACAAGTCTCATTCAAAACACACCTGGATGCTAAGTTTTGAAATTTAAAAGTCATCCAAGAGAAATATCCCAAATAAAAGTACAAGTAGTTACTGAACAACATAACTGACTTTTCTCTCTTCTTATGTAGTAAAAGCAAGCTCTAGTAAAGTCAATTTACTATGGAAAATAACAAACAGGTTAAATATTTTTTACCAAGGTGATTTAAGAATTAAGTTAAGCAATTTTAGGCCAAATATTAAAAAAATTGCAAGAATACATTGCAGCGATCATGTCGTGGCATGCTTGCTTGGTATGTAGTTGCTTGCTCATGTCACCATCTATTAGACCATTGAGAAGTATAGCAATGCATAAGTTTTGCATGCCCTTGAAGATGATAATGACCTTGGGATTTGATCCTGAGTCTCTTATATGGCAGTCGAATATCACACTGGTGTTGCAAAAGAGTTCCCCACATGACAGATTCTGATATTTGAGCTGCTTTGTAATGCGAGCATTCGATTAGCCCAAGATCGCTACACATTCCCTTCCCCAGCATTTTTTATGTGATATATATATTTTTTTATTTCTAATAGTAAGGCAAAACGTCATTGCCTAAGACAGTCTCTGGCATGCCAATATAGGGTGGTTATGGAGTCATAACCAAGAAGTACCCCATAGCGACAAAGGTGGGCTCTGTTCAAGATCAAAGAGTGGGCAAAATGGTTGAGCAAATATATCAGTTTGGCAAAGATGTTTACTCAGGCATTTATGGTCTATAAGTAGCCAAAAAGGTGCCACAGCATTAAATCGTGGATATTCTGGCAGGCAAGCAAGATTGTTAGCCTTCCATTGTTTCATCTTAATGCTATCCAACAATTTTGACTGGTATCTTTGTTTCATAGCCTGTTTTATTCTTAAACTTTATTGAGTAATATGACAAATTTAAGTTTGCTGATTGTAATAGTGATGCACCTTTTCATATAAGGAAATCTGCCTGTTCATTTCCATAGATACTGTTGTGTTCAGGAATCCACTATATTCTAATTTTCTTATTTTTCTGCAATAGGCTTTGCATTAATTCTTGGCACTGAAGAACTTCTGTTGATATAGGGGTTTCTAAAGAGCCAATGGCTTGAATTGCTGCTCTTGACTTTGATAGCAAGATAACATTCTCAAATTTATAATGCAATGTCAATAATAGTTTCAAGGAAATTCTAAGAGCCTCCACCTCACCATCAAATGTATTTTGGTTTCTCCCAGCAGAGCCATAGAAGGAAAATAGACTGGAATAAACTCCTGAATCTGCAGACATTAGATCATCACTATATGACTTGTCTGTACAAACATGTAATAAGAATGTTTTTCCCATTGGCGAGCACTAGTCATAGCCATTGCAAACTACTAAGGCCAGAAGTGGTGATCACTTTATTAATGAAGGCAACTAATAGGTGAGCTACCATTGCCTCATATGAAGGGACACTTTACATCCATGCCTTCTCCAGTATTCAAACCTAGGCCTTTGAGTATATCAGCCAGAGTCACTAAATATTTTCTTGTCTGGGCGGCACTGCTGCCCAGACATTTAGACATATGACTGGTCACTGTGAATTAAACCCGGTTCATGGGCGTGTTTCCGAGCCCAGTGCATTGATGGGATTGATCATTGTGTTGATGAGCTGTATCTATGGTATGTGGCTGTGCTCAGTTGGAAATGTTGGTGCATGGTTGAGAGAACCTGGTTTATTGGTATGTGTTGCCATTAGGTTTGAGATGCAGCATGTGTGAAGAAGTGCCTTGGCCATGAGTGAGCCATTTGTCCTCAGTGGGAGGAAATGCGTGTAGTTCTCCCAGTTGTCACTGTGACGACCAAGTGGTCTAATGTTCGTTGGTGCTGTTGCTTGCTCATGTCACCATCTATTAGCACCATTCAGAAGTACAGCAGCGCATGATTTTTCCATGCTCTTGAGATTCGATTCTGGCAGTTAAATATCATACAACTGTTGCAAAAGAATTTCACATGCGACAGACTCTCAAGCATTAGCTCTCAAGATCAGTATAACATCAAGCACAGCCATCACATTAATTGAAATTAAACTTTTGCCCTTAGAATCACCCGACCAATTTCTAAAAACTTATTTATATTTGTAAAATTAATAATAATAATAATAATACAAAAAATAATAAAGCATAAATCATTTCCCCCCTCAAAACTTTTGTTCATACTCTATTTGTTATCTTTAAGTTATTTATACACAATTATTTGCATTATTGTTATGTTGTATGTTACAGAGAAAATATACAAGGGATCAATGTATTCTTTGAAAAGGGTTTAAAGCTCCCTGGTCTGGCATACTGGGAACTGTTATTATTCATACATGGATTTCAAATCATAGCAGTCCTATATTTTAACCTTCAGAATTTAAAATCTATTTACCTCATAGCTGAGTTTTTTAAACTTATGATTTCATTAATTTCTTTTATTTAATTTTGGGATGCAAAATAAAGACCAAAAGGTATTAAAGTACTAGAAAGCCAAACATAAATCATTAGCTTTGATTGAAATGGATAACTTGCTACTTATTACATTTGAATAAGTAACCAGTTATTATTAGAGTTGAAAAAAAGAAGAGATCACAAATTAATGCATATGAAGTAATCTAGCAAGTACAGTGGAATGGACATATATTTTGATCAATTAATAGGGGTTCATTTCTGTTTTCGATTATTTTTCATGATTCAGCAATCAAGATAAAGTGGAAGTCACATAAGTTACCTTTTTTATAATATAAAGTTTAGCTGATTTAACACATTAGTTCTAAATTGGTTTTACTAAAGATACTTCAGTAGCATTTTATACATCAGAAAAAGTATACAGAAAACTTAGAAAAAAAATTACGAAAGGATGATAAATGATTTAATAAAGACTTAGGTTGCATTCACATCAGTTTCTCATATCAAAATAAACAGTCTTAAACATATTACTTTTTGATGGCTACTTAGTTGTGCAAATATTTATGCAGTTATGAAAAAAAAATCAATATAAAACAAAAGAAGAAAACTGGACATACCTTCTCATCGGCACTAGAAGATGTAGATTCATTCATCTCTCTCCATACTTCTTTGCTAAAAATGACATTAGGTCAATGAATGCAATCTTAAGACTTAAGACTTAAGTTTTTGCTATGTAATTATATTTCTATTGTTTAAGTTTTACTACTTTATTGATATTTAATCCCACAAAATATGAAACATCACATTTCATATTCAGGTTTCAGAATTCATAACTATTCATACTATTCAATATCTTCAAAAAAATCATGAAATTATGGTGAATTATTAAGGCTGTAAATGAACTTAAAAAAGAAGATCAGGATTACTTAACTAAGGCAAAGCACATGAGAGTTATTTGCTTATGCTCAATCTCAAATTTGACCAAGAGAGCCTTGGGGATGGAAATTGAGAGTCTTGCATCCCTTTTCTCTTAATCTGAATCTTTGAAAAGGAAGCTTGCAATGATATTATATCTCATGGCAATCTAACATGAATACATACAATGCTAGAATGACCTTTTCACATTGTCTTTCAAGTTATTCATATGCACCAACTACCCACAGTTGTTCGATTCCTCCTATTTGCTGCAATTTGGTGACTTCTTGCCATATCCAGTGTATTTAAATAACATTTTTTTATGCAATGAAAGAGTAGTTGAGTCTAATAGTTAATTCTAGGCTAAATAATGTCCACATTTTTCCTTTCAAAAGTTTAAAATATATATATACATATATATTAAGATGTTTGTTTATGTTTTTAAATCATTCAGCATAACAGTTGCTTTCTTCTCCTTCCAGCCAGTGAATGAATGAGTGCTGAATTGATTTTCTTAGCAAGAGTGGGGTGAGGTCGGGGTTGCTGGAGTTTGCAGATTCGACAAAAATGGGGACAGCTTCCTATTGGTCATCAAATGATTGATGTGATATAAATACATTTAAAAATAAAGAGCTAGCTACAACATAATCTATCATCTCATATATTTTTTCCTTTCTGCTGTCTCTGCTCAAGGGTATTCATATTACCCAACAATATTCATTTAATATTGTAATTTTTATAATACTACTTCTCGGAATGGTAGAACTATATTCTGCGGTGGACGCATACACTTTCTACTATATCCTGTGTTCTCAAGTTAGGTTGACTCTTCATATAGTTCTAAATACTCATGCCTCGCTTAGTGGAAATTAAACAGATGGTGAAAAATCAGTTTTCAATGATCATCATACTATGTCTAACAGTATATATGGGGTACAACAATACTATTCATTGTGAGATTTATTTAATAAATATCATTCATAAGTACCACTGGTAACAGACTGAAACAGCACTGGAAGCTGATTCTGTAAAATTTCATCACTAAGACAAAGCAGCAATTATTACTGGCTGAACTGAAAGTAAATATTTCCATTTTCTGAGAAGCATGGGTAACAAAGAGTTTTACCCAAAATTCGCAAAACTGATCTCTTTCAGCTGAAGTGTCTATAGAAAAATTAACCAAACCAGCTCTTCAGATTAGAAATTTATCAATCATATACTATATTTTAATAGCATCTTAACAAGCTTTGTCAAATGACAGCTGATTCAAACATGAAGAACTTGCTACAGCTACTATTATTATTACAGTTATTGGCTTCAATATATAGCACTGATACTATCTACATGTAAATTATAAAATGAATATTATTATTGGTGAAAACAGATTTAAAATATGAGCAGTGTAAGAACACTATTTATTGTAATAAAGAACTTAATATTTATTATAAGTTCAAACAACAGCAGTTAGCATTAATTGTTATAAACTTCCTGTACTAGTTTTGAAGTTTTTAAAACAGAACCTTCTTTAGCTGTGTGAGTGAAAATGATAAAACACAAGTTTACGCTTATGCGATACTAGTGAAAACAACAGGAAGGAAAATGCAAGAAGGCTCCATCAAAAACATAGTTGCTGGTACAATCTAATGCTGAAAAATGAAAATATCTATGAAATAATTTCTTTAAAAGCTGAGAGCAAATTGGAGTCTGGATCATTCACTAGAATTGAAAGATTTTTATGACTCTAAAACACCTATAAAAGATCTGACTCAGAAACAGATGATTTTTTTTTAATAATATTGGCTGTAGAAAAAAAAAATAATATGATTTTTTGTCCAACAATGTTAAGCAACAGAGGATTTGTGCATTTCTCAATATATGCTTCATGCTCCTTAGTGCAAATTTTTAAAGCTCTCTTAGTTTGACCAATGTACGTTAAACCACAATGGCAAAAAGTATTGTGTATACCTCAGGATTTCATATCTGGAATGAGATCTTTATGTATGGAGCTGCGAATTTTATTCATAGGAGAAAAAAATGGCGTGAAAGTTAAACTTCTGCAAAATGCATGCAATTTTACACCTAATAAATGGAAAGAAAGGAATGACTACAGAATTTTTAAATCTCCTAAACTGAAAGAGTGCTTTTTGCTGTGATGAGATGAGAATTTTTAACTGCTTGGTTAACAGTGCTAAGGTTAAATCCTTTACTTTTAAGCAGTTTAATTCTTGATCAAAAGCCGACTTGAAGGAACAAATTTGGAGTGCTCAGAAAATAAGAGAATAAAAGAAGGCTAACTTCTGTTTACTTCAATGACAGGACAAGAGTTTAACATGTTAAAAAAATACAGAAAAGAAATTTCTTATTTTGTGAAATTATGGCTTTGAAGACAATTTTAGATTTTATATGTTCCAATTAGGATTCAAATTATTAAGCTCCAAAGCTTTTAAGGTCCAATTATTCATATAAAAATACAAGTCACAGGCAAACAATTGAAATTTGTTAACTCTAAAATATCAAATATTTAAACAAGTTGAAATCCTTTAAAAACATATACATAGGCTTTTATTTTTAAAAACATACCTAGGCTTTGGTTTTGCAGCTTCTGTGGATGCTACAAATGCTTGTAAGAAAGGAAGTAAATGCTGCCCTTTCTAAAAATTAATATAAGAAGCAATAAAACATTTTAAAATTATTATTATTATTATTATTATTGTTATTAATATCGAAAATCATTCAAAATAAAAAAAATTACCTCTTTCATTAGCTTCATAGGAACAGTTTTTATCATCTTGCCTAAAATAAGAGTATGATTTGATCACCAGATGGTTTCATATTATCTTATATTATCTTTCAAGAAGCTTTTTTAACATTTGTTTCAAATAATATTTAATATTCATCAAATGCAAATTTAAAAGCTTTCACGTTGTTAAATTTAAGGGATTAGGAAAACTATTATATTTTATAGTTAACAATGTGAAAGTATTAAGTTTTGTCCTTGATAGTGTAAGTAAATTACGAACAAAGAACTTGAATATCATGTTTACGAACAGTTTTCTCAGATCTGTACAGTGCAGAGAATACAGATATATAATGCACGTGCAGATTCCCGATTGTGAACAGAAAACAAATGATTTTAACGACTTTGATACTTTAGATGAGCGTTCATGATGTTACCTGTTAATTTATAGTTTTAAAGGCAAATACTTTACATAGAAATCCACTCAAAAAAGAATTTCCTATTACTTATATATACATAACTTTATTTTAGTCTTAGTGCTATTTTAGCTACATAATACTTTGTAAAAGAAAATTTGAAATAAATATAACTATTGGAATAGTCCATGTTTATCATTATCAGATGTACTCCTTAATACACTAAATAAAACATAAATATTTATGCAGCATATAGCATCAATAACATCTTAACTTAAACTGGCCCTTGTGTGTGTAAAATTGGTCTTTACTGTTGTGTTTTAGAAAATTAAAAAAGCATGAATGATAATTAATAAAATAAGGAGATTTTCATGCTGTATGTCAACATGACTTGAAATTGATAAATAAAATTTTATATAACATATGGTTCATATAACTAAACTAATTACAAAGTAATTTAGATATAAAATTTTAATTTATTTATGATGTTTGGTTAATTTTATTTTATTACACAGTTTTCTTAAATTTTCATACTGATGAAATCCCAAATATGGTAAAAAGTGTTTGTTCAATATTATGCAATTTTGTTAGGATTTTTAAGCTTGCGTTTAGAGCTTTTAGGCTGCGGTGAATTACTGGAGTTTCAACTAAGCAGAGGTTCTTCTGAGTTTGCTTGGTAAGCAGCTACTGGAGGTTTCAATGTGGTCTTCGCCGTTCCTCAACCAACTTAATGTCTGAATGCCAATAAAGAAGTTTCGGTTAACTTTATGACTCTGAGGTTTCTTGGGTTCTACACTGAGGGAATATTAAGTCAATGTACAGTACACTATTTTTAAATGATGGAACATTCAGTGTTTTTATTTGTCAAAATATTTTTAGATATAATTAAAATAAAATTAATAATTAATATGCATATAATCATATGGACAAACTTTGTAATGTACTCTTTATAGATTTAAAGCGAAGTTAAATATAAATATTTTCTATTCAATGTCTATAAAAAGGCAAGATATAAGGTACAAAGTCTGTAATCCAAACTCGTTGGGAATTCGGCGATCCCGGATTAAGGGTTTTTCCAGATTATATATCATCAATTTAAATCTGGTAAGATGGCATGCAGAAATTATACAATTAAAAATACGAAACCGTAATTTATGAAATAAAGAGCAATTATGATCTAAAGGGTATCAAAATTTACAAAAAAAAAAAGCTTAATATTTATTTGTTTACTTTATTAAACATTTCTTTCAATGTAAGTTGTTTAAGTTACTTCGTTTTTTGTGCTAAACGTGCATGCGTAAACATTAAACGTGCATGTGTAAAGCATACATAAAAATCTGTGTGGCTTTGAGGTTTAGATTATGGATCATTCCGGATAATGGAAATCCAGATTACAGACTTTGTCCTGTACTATAATTAGCTATATTGGATTAAAACAATTCAGATCAAATAAATTAATAAAAATAATAAATAATTTTAAAAAATTAAGCTGAAAGTCACTACTGGAGAAAAATAAAACTTAACATTTTAAGTTGCATTATGAGATAATAATGTCACTGCCTTAACTTTTCTATAAATCTGTCATCAAAATTTCATTTACCTTCAAAATCTACATGATTAAGTATTTTCTGGATATGCATTTTAAAGATATGATCTAACTTCAGATAAATTATTAAAAACCAGCACATCTGGTAATTAACCAGGAAACATAATGGGGGGGGAACCCTCGAAGGGTGGCATTTCTGTAGAAAACATCAAGAAATTATTTAAAAAAAAAAAAAAAAAAAAAAAAATTCTTACCAATTTTAATATCTGGTAAAAAACTTGTAGTAAATGGGGTAGGAGATTTCAAAAACTGAAACAGCAATTCACTTCCTTGCAAAGCAGGCAAAGTCAGTAATGTCTATAATCAGATACTGGGTAGTAAATATTCATAAAATAACTTGCACATACACAATTAAATTTGAAAAAAATTGTTAACAATTAATTATGCAATAATCACCTGCAAATAACGTTCAAATTCTGGTCTTTTGCTTTCAAGAAAAGCTAAACCTTTATTTTGCTGAGAACGCTTTGGTGGCAGTTGCACAGATAGTTCTCCGTGAAATTCAGTAAGTTTAGCTTCCAAGACATAAAATTCTGTGTATCGCCTATATGAAACAAATAAAACATATACAGTCAAAAGTCGTTAATTCGGACACCCATAATCCGGAATGATCTATAATCCGGACCTCAAAGCTACAAACTTTCTGCGCATGCGTCGCGTTCACGCATGCGCACAGGCGTTTACGAGAGCGCGTAAGACCCTTACGGCTGCGAATATGTTTGTGCGCATGCGCGTTTAAATTGTAACGGAGTTATACGCTAAGCTAAAGTTATCTAATTCAGTTAATGTTGCCGATGCGTTGTTCCTTAATCTTCGAATCGGATCCGGCTTATTATTTTTTGCAGACTGTCAGAGCAATTTTATAAAAGTAAGCTTGAACGTTCGATTATGTCAAATAGAATTTCCGGTATATATTTACTACAAAGCGAAAGTATGTTTTGAAATCCGAAATCTGTTTATCAATTTCACGCTGCTCTGCGGCAGAGGGAGGGGGCAGAAACGTCATTATTAGATTATGATAGATTAGAAAGATTATGTCAAATAGAATTTCCGATATTTATTTACTAATATGTAATTTGTATCTACAAAGCGAAAGTATGTTTTGAGATCCGAAATCTGTTTATCAATTTCACGCTGCGGATTGGGAGTTGATCTGTCAACACTATCCTTATCTTCAGGGCAGATGTTTTTATTTTATTTGGTTTATAATTTCATACTAAGTGTAGTATTTCATTCTGTCTTTGATATGATTTAAATCAAGTTCCTCGTCATTATAATTCGCTTCCGATAGTGAAGAAAGTGACCCAGAGGTTATTGAAAACGAAAACATTTCGATTGACAAATTAGTCGGTATTCTCCAACACAGCAATTCCATAGGACTTGAACAGCGGAACTTTGTAACTGAAACAAGAAATTATGTCTGTTTAATAGAATTAAAAGAGAAAGTATTATCACAATGAAACGAAGCAACTTAAACAATTGAAGGAACGAAATGTTTAATAAAGGTAAACAAATAAATATTAAGCTTTTTTTTTTTTTTTTTGGTAAATTTTGATACCCTTTAGATCATAATATGTTCTTTATTTCATAAATTACGATTTCATATTTTTAATTTTGTAATTTTCTGCATGCCATCTTACCAGATTTAAACTGATGATCTATAATCCGGAAAAATCCGATAATCCGGAATCGCCGAAGTCCCGACGAGTCCGGATTAACGACTTTTGACTGTATATTTATTTATTTTTTCAAATACTTTAAAAGAAATAATACAGTTTTAAATACAACGTTAATAGTATGTTATAAAACTGAAATACTAAACATATTTATTAATTAAAAAATTATAAATATGATTTAAACAGCAAATTAATAAAATAGTTTCTTCTAATGCTTTTCTTGAGCTATAGATCTTGAGCTCAAATTTTAACATACCACAAAATCTTAAGACAAATGATGCAAAATTTACTTTTGAGATCTTTCTAGAAAATGTTCACACAGATTCCTTTTCATAATGCACTGAATACTTTAAATACATGGATTCTGACTTAAACTGATAGCATCTACCTAAAATTATATATATTTTAAAATTTATTCCATTTTCCTATTATGAAAATGTATTTATTTAAAGTGTGTGGATTAATTATGGAAACTATTATTTAAATTAAGAAAATAAAATAATAAAACATTAAACTAGAATTATACATTAATATTTACACTAAAATGGAAGAATTAAATGTTATTTACTTTTCTAAAATAGAAAATAGTATATTTTCTATATTTTTTTCATATAAAAACTATGCTATTTATAAAGCATGGAACATAACTGCCCATATTCAGGTGGAGAACTATATTATTCAAAATTTGATAGTTTTAAGTAGTGTTGTTTTTTCACAATGCAAGAAACATACATACATTCATGCAGATTCTTCATTATTGAAGTTCTGTAAAAATAATACAGAGCAATAATATTTGGTAGTAACAATTTTAAAAGTGATTCAACACAAAATACCATTTCAAGATTAATAGCCCTTCTGGGCTAATGCCCCTTTAATTTAAAAATTACACATAAAATATCTAAAATGTAGCAAACATATGTGACAGCTGTGCAACTCAAATAAATATCTTGCTTTTAGAACTATAAGTGAGTAAGGCTGTTCTTAACACTGTTTAAACATTACACAGTAGTGTATTAGTTGACTTACAATTTAAAGCTGCAGAAGATTGCTTAATACTTTTACTCAGTAAGAACACTAAAGGAGACTTAAGTTAAAACCATTGCTTGTTTATCATTCCAAATTCCAAAAGCATTGAAGAGAGTTTCAAAATCAACTTTACCAGAAATTTGAGAATCTAATAAAAAATCTTTTAAGAATCCAATGAAACATTTTCAAGAAAAGGTTTATTGAACATTTTTGCTTGCCTGTTCAATGCTGCTACCAAATTTAAAAATTTGAACAGAAAGCTTTACTTTTGTTTGATAATGTTTCAAGCCATCCAACACATTTATCCAACTTAATAGCATGCATTCCAGTAGAAGTGGTTTTCCCGCTACCAAAAGCAACTTCATTAATCCAACCAATGGATCAAAGCATAATATCAAATTTTAAAGCTTATTATCTGTGGCAGACATTCCAACAACTGATCGATAAAACCGACAGAGAAGATAAACAATCTACTAGAGATTTTCGGAAAAACTACAATAGCATGGATGCTGTAGACAAATACCAGTCTTTCTTGGAATAAGCTGACCGAGTTATGTTTGAAAGAAGTATGGAAGAATGTACAGTCGGAGCTAAAGAAGAATGTTGACAAAAGGAAATCCATTGTTGATGTTGATGAAACTATCAAGCTAGCAAATGAAACAGGAATATGCAGGGTATTGAAAACTTACTGTAAGTTACAGCTGATGGAAGTCTTTCCAATGACAATCTTAAAGAATTAGTAGAACAACAAGTACATGAAGAAGACAGAATTACCATTTCTAAAGATGAGGAGCAAAAGGAAATTTCTACAGATTTTCTTAAAAAAAAAAAAAAAAAAAAAAAAAAAAAGACTTAGCTATTATAATGAAGATTATGATTCAGTTTATACAAAATCATTTAAATTTTCAGAGAAGTTCAAAGACTAAGATAAAATGTTACTGATGTGGTGTCTTGCTGTCACAACTACCTGCTGAATGAAACAGAAAACGGCAAAGGATGTTAGATAATGTCTTCACCAAGGGAAAAAAAAAGTGAGATGAGGAAGAACATCCCGACATAACTTCTTTACTCGAACTTTAGTTCTTTTTTTGAATTTTCATGAATGTTTTATGAATAAAAATCAACATTAGCAGTAAAAAAAAAGTCTACATTTAATGTAGGTTGGTTGGTTGATTTTTTTAATGGCACAAAACTTCGAGGGTTATTATGCGCCAGACAAATGGTGAACATTTAATGTAATACAAGAGTATTCAACAATAACTATTACAAAATAAAACCAAAAAATACTGATAAATTATCTTATTCTCTCCCATTACTTTTGTGTCAAGATAACTTCATTTTACACGTTTCATTTAGAGCTGGAACTTATTAAAAAAAAGAGGTAATATTATTATTAAAAAAAGAGAAAATATGAATAGATTAAATACCTTTCTACAGTCCAATGTAAATCATCAGGATTATCTATAAAGAAAAAGTATACCTTTTTAGGCAAAAGAAGTCTATTGTAAAATCATTTATTTACTACAGCTTGAATATAGAATCACACTGGCGATTTTTATATTTAGTGCACTATTCAGTTTCTAGTAATCTAGAAACTACTACATCCAGACACCATTTTCTTCCTTGAATGTAACCTAGTTGTATTATTATTATTTTTACTTAATTTTTTCTTGATTGTTTAAATTTCAAATACTGCATTTTACCATGCCTTCTCTTTTAAATGTAGTAGAGAGGCTTCAGAAGGTGTCACAGGAGGAATTTAACTTTTGTTTTCGAATGAGAGGATGACTTTGAGAAAAGTGGAATAGTTAATAGGTTGTTTATCTTATATTTATATGTATAAGAATCAGTAGTTATGTTTGGATTTTTTAAAGAAGCAGAGTTAATTCGGGGGAAATTTGTATTTCAGAGGAGTAATTCTTGATTAAATTCAAAATTTCCTAATAAATTTAACAGTTATTTTTCTTACTGCCAACATTTCTTTTCCCCTTGTTTCTTTCCTTTTCATTTTTAATTATTCTAAACCTGTATTTTTAATTTTATAGCTGAAAATGCTGATCTTATTTTTAAAAACATGCATTACCATGACTTAGTGATTTTTTTTTTTTTCTTTTTTTTTTAATATTGACAAGCCAAACATTCTCCAGTGAGATTCCATATACAAGCTGTTTTAATTATTTGAAATTGCTATAAATTGTATTTTGCAGAGTTAAAATCAGTAAATATTTTAGTTCTGCATGATTAAGCCTAAAATTTTCATAAGAAAACTTTATATTTATTGATGTTAGCTAGATGCATTACATGATATATAAACAGTAACAAGAGAGATAATGCAATCTACTTCATAATAATTAATGATAATAAATAAGTACAGGAATTATTAAAATGGAAAAATACCATCATCTCTCACATCAATCCTTTGGACTTCTATGCGAAATGTATGATAATATTTACAATTCTGGTCCATTCTCATCATTACTTGTGGAATAAAAACCCGCCAGGCACTCAATTTCTTTAACCTTGGATCATCTTCCATTGTATAAACATCTGCTGTTCCATCCAAATTTGAAGAACCATCTGGCTGTTTACAAAAATATAATTTTGATTAAAAAATTAAAATTTAACTTTTCTTAACACATACATGTCTTCCCCCCAAAAAAGATAAATTTAATATCTGAATTATTAACATCGTAAATCATGATAATATTCAAGATTTGTTTTCCAACAATTTTTTCTCTTTGCATATGTAAATGATGTCATGTTCATATTATATTTGCTCGTGAACTTACATGTTTTTTTAATAAAAAAACACATCCTTTTTGTACTGAAGACAGTAACAAAGAATATGCTGGACTGTGTATAAAGGAAACACTTAAAGGTTGATATTATAATAAAACAATAGTTAGGTAAAAAATGATCTGCACTTCTGTATCAAATCAAATTCATTTAGCTATACAGAACAAATAAACTTTAAAATTTGAAATAAATAAATAAAACAAAGGAGAAATGTTTCAAATACTAATTAAATTCAATTAAAAGCCAACTTACAACTTTATTACTTGCTTTCTACTGAGTTTAATTACAAAAAATTCATACAACTGCAAACATATAACAGAGATAAATGATATCATAAAATTACAAAAATGAAGTCAATAAATTTAAAATGCATTATAAAAAAAACATGATTATATAAAAAATGTGACTCTAAAAGCAGTAATTAAAATTAATCAAAGCTATTAAATCAATTGTTCCAGGAAAGAATGTCTACACATGGCAAACAGTAACTGTCTCAATATCTCTACTGAGAAAAGTAAAGCATATGTTAGTTTTTAGGTGATGAGTTCCAGGCTAATGATAGAAATCTTCCAAGTTAAATTGTCTTTCCATATCTATCAAAACATTTGTATTAAAGAAACAAGAGTGTTAAGATATTGAGCTCATGATATCTGCATGAATATCCTTTCAGTAGACAATCCATTATCAAAATGTGAAGTTTGTATTGGGAACATGCACACATCATGTCACTGATGGGTCACTGTTATTTTGAAGCGGTGAGAGAAACTAGAATTAGGCACCACCATCAATCAGGTCAAACACACAATGAAATTATCTCTATGGAAGTAATTCATATACTGATCCCTGAATAATGATGAATGAACTTACTTCTCCACTATTCATCAGAAAGTACTGACATCATGAGCCTCTCAAGAATGCAAACTATACTGCACTTCAAAGTTGTACTGTCCACTCGATGGCACAAATCTTAAGAATATAGGTATGCTGATTTCAATTTCACTGTCACATCCAGAACTTAGTACTAAAACCATATCTGAACACTAGACTTTGAAATTGACAATGCTTGCCATATAGTTTACATCTTTACCTAGTCAACTTGCCAGCAATTCATTTGAATTTTTTTTAAAGGCAAGAATTCAGTCTATTTGTAGCCTTAAAATATGCAAATTCGCTAAACAAAACCATTCTTAAGACTGAAGGAAATACAGACAAAATGCACAACAGTTTTGAACAGAAACTATCTGTTTTAATACTAAAGGCTACACTGCATTTTGGAATATCAAGAAGTTCATTGGAAACAAAAGATACAAGTTTGTGAGTACAAAAGATACAACTTTGTGAGTTACACAGATATTCTGACGTGACAAAATTTTCCAAATTTAACTAATGATAGAAAAATTACTGAAAGAAATCAATATGAATGACTTCCAACTGAATAGTAATTTAAAAAAAGCAGAAATGGTTATAATGAGTACTAAGAATTCCCATTCATAAAATAATACTCCTGAGCCCACAAAATCTTACTTTGTGATGTGCAATATCTTTTGAGCGAACTCCAATATTTGAAGAAGTTGGAGTACTAAGCAGAATTAGAACCAGTTTTGGGAAAGAGAACTTGTATCAAAGACTAACTGTTATAGTAGGATTCAGTAATACTGGTTTATGCATGATGTAGTTCCACCTAGTAATACCTAGGTCTATTTCTGGTTCAACGCATTCTTTGTTAAAAAATCTGATGTGTACACCATGTACACCACATGACTTCCTTGTACGGAATATTAAATTATACGCATTTTTTCTTGCATTTCATTTAAACTTATTGGATTGAGTTAAATCTACTTCGCCGACAGCACATAAAATATTACATAAAAAAACATAAAATGCATTCTTTAAAATTCACTTTGTTTACCATAGCGACACTCTGGCGCTAGGTTCACTTAACAGTATTATATTTCATTCATATTATAACTCAGAATGCACAAAATTTATATCATTTAAAGAAAAAAATTATCTAATCGTTGCCACATGTTCTATTCAAATACTATAATAAAGCTAGAATGATGTATAAAAGAAATTAAGCAAACAAAACAAAAAAGAAACAGTTTTTCACAGATGATTGAGTATTTCTCAGTCAATTAATTCAGTTCTCACTTCGCAAGAAGGCAAAAATACATAAAAACTCAAAATATCTATATTAAAAACTACGAAGTAAATCTTAAACACTTATTTCCTCGAAAAATTCCAGAAAGGATTAAGCATGATTTAAATCGCAATAAGAAATGAATGCGTTTATCTTTGTTGTTGCGAAGCTAAGTTTCTCTAGATTGGCAACAAATCCACTATCCTGCTGTTTCAAATGTAAACAAACAATGGCCGGCATCAAGAGAAGTATTAGGCTTAGTGGCACTTAAACAACTTTAAAATTGTTGACATTTCTAAAAATATTGCATAGAGATTTACTAAAGGCATAAAAACCTTAACCGAAAGATAAGAACAACATAATTCAATCATTTCTAAAGCAAAAAATGTACAATTTTCAAACATATAAGTGTAAAGAAACTGAGATCACTGAGCCGGGTAACAGGGTGGATATTTATATAAATATATTTATATACGTTTGGTGCGGCCAATTGCAACCAAAATATGATGTGCACATCTACATGTTATAGCAGTCCTATATACAAAATTTCAACGTTCTGAGGCTACTCGTTTTTGAGTTATGTGAGATACGTACGTACGTACGTTCGTACAGACGCTGCGAAAAATTCTCTTCAGAATTAATTTTAAAGCAGTTTTATGATTTTTTTGGAGGAAAGGAGTCTTTTATTCTGATCTTACGTACAGATATCAAGTAAAATAATCGTTAAATTGCATTCGATTGTAGTCAAAATTGATATTTTCGTTGAAATATGTTGCTTGAAACTTTTTGCGATTACAATACTTCCTTTTTACTTCATACAAAGAAGTAAAAATGACTGGGTTCAACTGGAGGAGGGTTAAAAAGGGCAATAAATATGACATCAAATATCCTCCATATAAGGTAATCCTTCATTCTTGTGATTACCACATTTATATGAGTATTCTCCCACTTTTCCTATTAATTTAATCATTTGAAAACCAGAAGTAGGGAATATATATATGCAGTGTATATTATTTCTAAAGAGACGATTTTAATGATAAACAAAAAATACTGAAAAGTAGACATAAAGATGTATTGTTATTACATTATACATTTCAAAGGACTTATAATTTTCAATAATATTCTTTCTACTTATACAAAATAATTTCTTGCATTTATGCATACATTTTACATGGTTAGCATAAATCAGAAGTTTCTAAACTGTGCTGAAAAATGTAGCTGGAAAAATATGCTAGGGAAAATATGTGAATTAATATGGTATTTCATACGTAGGATTTGGTATTTCATCTGGATCACATGGAGGTTCATATATATATATATCTATAGAAATGCTCCACATTCCTTTGAGTGACTATAATCAGAACAAACAAAAGTCATTAAAAATATAAATTCTAACATACCAAAAAGGATACTTCCCAAGTTTTGAATCTTATATTATATCACTATAATGGTAGAAAACAAAAAGTTTGGAAATCATATAAATTAAAATTCATGTTTCTTATGAGAGAAGAGAAACATGTCAAAGTAAAACATAATATTAGCAAAGCAACGACTTTGTGTTTGGAGTGATGCTCCTGATGAACAGGGACCTGTAACTGTTTGCCCTGGAAATGGATAGAATCTTGAGTAAAATCTATGCCCAAAACAAGGTTGTAGCTTTGCCTCAATTAATGTTTCTTAATTGACTAAAACTGATTTGATTTAATCATGTCTTGCAATCTATAAATTGTAGTCTTTGACTTTTATCACATTATTTGGGCCACACTGTATTATGTTACATAAGAGCAATATAAAGTACCATATAAACTTAACAAGTAAATTTTAAACAATTGCTTACAAACATAGCTTCCGCAAGGTCAACACCAGGTTCTTCTTCACAGATTTGCCCATCATCTGCAAATCAAAGAACATCAAAATTTTCAATGAAAAAGAAAGTTTCAACTTATATATGCTTTACATATTTCACTTTCATTTTTAACAACACTTTTTTACATTTTAGCCCAGAAGGGCTATTAATTAATTTCATTTTGGCATTTTGTGGCATTTCACTTTTCAAATGATTGCCACCAAATATTAGAGAACTGCATTAGACTTTGTAAAACATTTAAGAATTTTTGATTAACAAACTCAATGATTTCAAAGCAAGCTATGGCGACAATGAAAAAAAAAAAAAAAAAAGTCGTTTTTATCTCTAGTGCACAAGACTGTGTATTGGAAATTCTAAAGATACACGTTTTTTTTTTTTTTTTTTTTTTTTTGTGATAATGGTATTGAATTGAATTTTATATGGTTTAAGAGTGAAGAACACGATATTTAATAAATAATGTAACATACAAAACGTTAAAAAAAAATCCTCTTGGACCCTTTTTTTTCTTTCTTTTTATTTATCTAATTATCTATCTATCTAATAAATATTCTTTATTTAACTCACACACACAAAGGGAAAAAAAGTAAGAACTGTATAAGAGAAACCATACTAGATGATTTGAAACATGATAATATATTAATACTGTGATATAGAAAAAAAGGAAAATATTATGCAACACAGACTGGCTTCTAAAATTTGTATAAATAAAATGCTGAATAAAATAGTCTTAAAAATAATTTTTTAAAATCCCTCAATAAACAAAACAGAAGCATAAAAATTTTCATTCAATTTAAAGTGAGATAATTATTTCAGATTGCAAAATTCAAAGAATAGTATTACTATCTGAAAATATATAACAGATTTTAAAGAATAATTTTTTTACAACGGAAGAGTAGAACTTATTGAAATTCACTGACATACAACAATCATATATAGAGAATACCTCTTGTAAATAAAGGTAAAGACCTTAATAAAGGTAAATAAAGGTAAAAACCTTAAATAAAGGTAAAGAAGTGATGTAGGAACTTAGGAGGACTGTCATCATTAGCAAAAAACAAGCAATGTTAATACATGTCACCGAAGCATGTCAATAGCTGCAAAAGTGACTGAGCTTATTAAGTAAGATTGAAATGTAATAACAGAGAAAATTTGCTCAGAAAGCTCTGTGAAAACAATGATTTCAAACAGACAATAGCATGCAGGAGTAAGTCTGGAAATGTCTGCAAGAAAAACTTTAAAGACTTTTATATGAATGCTAATGTATGTTTAGTGGATACTTTCTGATTATTTTCTGCATAAATTTTCTAAACATTCAATCTTAGATGAATGACCAACAGCATGTTAGCATTACTTTAAACAATACATTTGCACAGTCTGTAATTAAACAATACATTTGCACAGTCTGTTAAATGTGCAACACTGATAAATGGGAGATTTAAAACTGTAAATGAGAAAGCAGCAATAATTCCACCACATCTTTAAGTACGCTGTGACTAGTGATGTAAGTTTTTACTGAATAATCATAACTAAAAACATAAAACTTCAATTTTTTAATTTTGAAAACATTAAAAAATTTTATAGTATTTTTATGATTAGGAAATAAACTATGGAAATCTGATGGCATCTAGGAATTTAAATATATCTTACCTACATGAGCTGTAAATACCCCTTTCAACTTGTTTCCAAGTTTTGACATGGTTGAAACACCAGCATTTTCTTTTCTCCCACCTCTGGGGGGAGGAAGTATTTTTTAATAAAGCTCCGAATAATACACAGTTAAGATACCAAAACTAATAAATTTTCATATACATATCTGAAAAACAGATAATTAACTTACTTTCCTAGTCCCCTTGCATTTGAATTGCCACATCTTTCTCCACACAATAAACTAAAATACTGAAAAAATAGAAATTACATAAATATTCTTCTAAGGAGAGTTGATTTAAGGCTAATCAATCATCAAAGTTCATTTAAATATTCTTCATATTTTAATTATTTAGCATGTTATACTACAATATTAATATGCTTAAATAACAATCATAATAATATTAATTGCAGCAATAATATTAATAATAGCAATAATAAAATTGGACATATAAATGACTCATGTCATGTGTAAGTGATATCAAGCGATGTGCTGAAAAAGAAACAAGCTTTTTTGCAAAATTAAAAAATGTAAAATCATCATATTGGAAGACAAGGTGACTGAGTTTAAGAACTGAAGAAATTTTGATATAATACTTTTTAAATTTTATACTTTTATGATGTTCTTGAAAATATATTGAAATATCTCTTTACAACAACAACAACAACAACAACAACACAAAAAAAAAAAACTTTATTTATTTTAATATGTATATACAGCAATGGAAATCTAGTTATTTCATAAATAAAATTTAACAGATTTTAAAATAATAACAACAAACAATTAGCTGAGTTTAAAATATAACTGTTCAATCTATTAAAAAAGTTAAAGATATATAATTATAAAGTAAATCAGGGTTGCCACTCAAACAGGAGAATGAAATTCCCTGACTTTTCCAGGGTTTCCAGGTGTGTTTCAAGAAAATTCCAGTCTATCCGCGTAATGTACGTTGACTACGCTAAGAGGTAAATTATGGTATTACTTGTATTGTGTAGCAAATTCACTTAATTATTCAATAAATCCCAGAGGACATTTATTCTTAATTATTCTTGGTATACTTTGTTTGATAATTTTGTTTACTTTTCCACTTAAGAAACTTAATAAAATTTAAGATATATACATTGGATAACAAATGTATTTTTATTTAATTATTACTCATGATCATCACCAGTTTCAACACGAGGCTAATCTGGTCCTTATAAATCACAACGCAATGCTAAATAGTTAGGTTAGATTTTAGGTAAATTTAATTTGTGTGAGGTATGTTCTTAAAAAGCACCTTAACACTTGAAAACACAAAATAAATTATAATAGTTGTTGTTTTTCTCCATTGAAGATTGAGATTAGAATCTTCCCAATCTGGAATAAAATAAGGCTTTTTTTTGCAAACATTTCTGCAGCTAAACGAAACAAAGAAATCTATTTTAATAAATTGAGGTATTTTATATTTAGTTCGCAGCATACATAAGAAAAAAAATATGTGCATTAAATTTCGTGATGGTATGTCATCATACTGCTAGAATTAATTTCAAGATTATGCCAGAGAAAATTTCCTGAAATTTAGAAATATTATTTGCTAATAATTAATAAATTTAGAGGGAAGAAGCATCATTAAATTATACGAATAACAAAAATAAAGATAATTACTTAAAAATTGAATTAGAATAGTCAACGATATTTTAGCGAATATAGTTATATTACATGGTTAGCCTAGATGACAGATTACTATATTTTATTTTACTGCAAAATGGCAAGGTATTTATTAAAAAGAAAAGTTTTAAAAGATTTTGCGGTAAAATTCTAGTATACGGTAAGGCTTTGGCACGATTTTGAAAATTGTCGCCAAGACCAAAATGACCCGTTTACTGCGCATCATCATGTTGCCAAATCCATACATGGAAATTATTTTAACCAAAAAACGTCTATGCAAAGAATCTCTAATTCTTTGGTCTATGTAAAGAAGAAAATTTTCCATACAAGTAAAATGCTATTACGCCGCTAGAATGCGGAGGGAAAAATTTGCCAAGGGATTTGGCGACGGAACCTGGCGGCCAGAATTTTCCCTCTCCGCGATGTGTACCGGAAATTGAGAAACGTGTTAAGAAGAAACGTTCTTTGACAAAAAGAAAGCTACGAAAATCCGTTTTTAAATTATTGCGAAAAATCCAAGAAGAAACGTTTTATCATAGGACGTTTCTTCTTGGATTTTTCGCAATAATTTTAAAAACGGATTTTCGTAGTCCCCCCCCCTTGAATTAATTTACTTGCGCCAAAAAATATTTTCTTGTGCCGTGCGCTACAATATAGCAAGTGGTAAAGTGTCTCATTTACGCCGCTCCGCATCTGCGAGTGCAATCCAGAGCTGTAACTCGAGAAATAAACAATCTCGTTGTTAGGCGACGTGTGCACCATGTTATTTTCATTTTTGCGATAAATGCTTATCGACGTGGTGTTCACGTCGCTCGCAGTTTGAGACAAAAACATCTCGACGTGCGTGGCATGTCTTTTTAGCGCAAGTGGTTAAAGAAATTTTAAAGGATATTCATTTAATGAACTCTTGATAACGTGACCTTCGAATTTCGACACCGGTTTCCAGCTTTGGCGGCAGTTATATCACGCATGCACAGCTGTTTCCCTCTATGATGGAACGGAGCCACGTCTGTTGCAGAGAGGTTTTCCTTCTTTACAATACATATTCTTTGAGCCCACCAGCGGCCGAGCGGTAAAATCGCTGAACACTGGTAGTTCGGTCCGAGGTTCGAATCCCACGAACGGGCTGGCTGCATGGGCGTTTTCGTGGTTTTCCCCATGTGTAACGTGTATACGAGCCAGTTTCCCTTAGAAAGTCCTCCACGAAAGGCATCCCTTCCCTTAGGCAGATAGCCCTAGTGTGCTTTGCCGTATCCTCAATACACCAACACCACCATATTCTTTGATTCTAACCTCCATGGTACCGTATACTAAGATTAAACCCATTTTGTTTTATACGAGAACAGGTACTTTCTTTAGTTCATGCACTGCACATGCGATTCTCGAGAATACTCGAAACCAAAAGTTGCGGGAAACTTGCTTGCTTTGCCTTTCTAAAAGGCAATCAAATTGGAGCTGCGAAAATTGGCTCTATGCCAGCAGACACTCACGTGATAGGCAATTCGCCAAAAAAGTTATCTCTTCCGACGTCGGCGCAAAAATCGCTTTTATTGGCGGGATCATTGTATGAACTTCCCTGACTTTTCCAGATTTTGACAAAAATACTTAAATTCCCTGACTTTTCCCTGAATTTTTTGGTCAATTTTCGAATTCCCTGACTTTTTCCGGTTCTCCCGGTTTTCCAGGTAGCGTGGCAACCCTGGTAAATACAATACCAAAGTAAATTAAAATACCAAAGTACAGTAAATTAATACCAAAATAAATGTAAGGTCATCTCATAAATAATGTCATTTTTTAAAACAGGTTTTGAAAATAATAATGTTGTGTTTTTCTTCTGACACCAGTTGTTACGTTTGTTCATATGGAGTTCGTGTGGATTTGGAGTGAATAACGACGACACTTGATGAAGTATCGAAACACACTTTATTTAGCCAAGATTAATCAGGACAGCTCCAAAGCCACTCTTTACAGTCATCGAAGATCTACTATAAACACGCTGGAACAAACAGCGACACAGTCTTCACACTGTCAGGCAATAATGATGGAGACAGTTTCACTGCAAAGCACCAGAGTATGGCTCCCGACTCTGCTCGGTCGTTCTCGGAACTCCACGTACTCTCGAGACTCTCCACGTTACAACTTGCGATGCACTCGACGACACACAGAGCACAGCTCCCGACTCTTCAGTTCAGTCGTTCCCGGAGCTTAACACGCTCTCTGGACGATGCACTAACAACGATACACTAAGAGACTCTTCGATGCACTTGACGACCCACTCGGCACTCCCTGGCCGCTGTCAACTCGATTTACTCCGCACGGACTGACTCGAAACTCGAGACACTATCTCGCACTCTAGACAAGGCACTCCGCGTATCAGCAGGGTTTATATAGTTTTGGGCTTGCGTTCGAGAAAATTCTGGGCTAAACCGGTACGAATTCGTACCAGAAGGTTCTCCATCCGTCCATGGCATATTGCCAATTGTGTTGCCAAATGGGTGATTTCTCGCCAAATGTGGCAACCTTGCCTTCTCTTGCCATTTTATTGCAACCCTAAGACTGCTTTGCGGGAAAGGTATCTTACCGTGCCTGTACATTTTGCAACAATATTAATAGAAAGTAAGATACTAATTTAACCAGCTACTTATTCCTTATCTTTAACTGGAAACGTTCTTCAAATGCTATAACATACTTTTTATGCCATCAGTACAGATTGCAACTGGCTTATTGGAGAAAAATTCTTAAAAATCTGTTTCAAGTGCCTCATAGGAATTCATTTTTTTTCCATCAATAAGATTTTGCAGTCTTTGAAGTACCAGCCACTTTTTATCATCAGTCACTATATAGTTTAAAAAGTATATTTTTAAAGTGAATAAAGAAGAGCAGCATAGGCATTCACACATGGTATTTTTGTGCAAATTCAGTAAGTTCACATAGAACATACATGCCAAGCTTAGAGGCAAGTTTCTTCATATGGCAATGAACAATCGATGACAAAAAATTCAATTCTGTCAACTCTTCAACAGTTACAAATGGAATTTGTTCAACTCCAGTTTTCAAAACAACATTATAAAAAAAAGACAGGATGCCCACTATAAGTGGCATCTTTCAAATTAAAGTCATCTTATCAAAATTTAAAGAAACAATGTAGGTACTACCGAATATTCAAAACACTTCCTTCAACTTTTAGAAGCATTTGCTACACTGTTGCCTTGTTTATGCTTGTAAAACATAATGAATCTGATCTGTGATCTTCTAAGACTTCTATTTTCATGAGAAGTAAAGCAAAAATTTAGCATTCACGTGCTTGTAAGCCAGAACTGAATGAAGCTATGTGCTAAGCTAAACATATCAAAACATATTTTAGCAAGTCTTGCGCTGAACAACAACATTACTTATGAAAATATCTTGCACCTAAAAAATATTTTTTCTACAAATGTCACTTATATATCTTAAAAGTAAATAAATAAATAATAATAAAAATTTACTTACTCTATCACTCTGCAAAAACATAGGGCAATAGGTATTTTCAAGTAATTTGTATGCATGATCATAGGCTCTAAATAATGGGGTTGTTGTTCTCAGTTTGATCACATTTTCTGGGGGACCAGCAATAACTGAAATAATTTAACAAAAGTCTTTTTAATTTTCAGTAAAAGTTAAAATGTGCAGCAGCTATATAAGGAATACAAAATCTTGTCTCTCCCTTTTTTTTTTTAAGATTAGCAGTTAGTTTCCAGCCTAAATTTTTCTTTAAGCATATAAATGGTCAAAATGCATTTTCAGTCTTAATCCTAGCCCTAGCAATTAATAAATAACAAGTTTGGTTTACAAAATTTTGTGAAGGAGATGAAACACTTAAAAATTAATCAAGGCCTAAATTGCTACTGATGATCCTATTTTGAGAAGATTACATGTTTTCGTCCATTTTTCCAAATTGCATATTTTTCATGTTCTTATTCTACAGCTGAACCCAAATAAGACTTTTTCCTAAAAAAAAAAAAAAAAAAAAACACTCTTTTTTTAAAGTTCTAAATTCAAATTCAAACTAATTCTTCAAAATGTTTTGTACAGACACTTTTTTTTGCTAAACAAAGTTCCCACTTATCAACTTACAATTTCATAGTCTTAAAAATCAGATCTCACGACACCAGAAGAACATACTTTTACAAAACTATACTAGTTTAATAAGATGTAAAGAGGGATAATTCGCTTATCAAATATCTTGAACAAGAACATTCTTTTATCTTTTAAGCACTTGACTGAGCTTTCATGATCTGACTATTTAACTTCTAATATATGCCTAAAACAGTTTTTATTCTGTTTTGAAAACAAGATTTATACTAATACTATTACCATAAATTACATTATGCTAAAAACTACAGAATATTGTTATGAGGAAGACCAACGTACATCACACAGTAATGGTGATAAAGCAGATAGGATAATGCCTTCTTAGGTTGCTATCACACGTCGGTTTGTTTCGAAAGAACAACTGTTTGGAACAATTTTTCTGCTTTGTCACAACAGCCAATCACCACAGCTCGCTTTGGGGTTAACACAGGGAAAACTGGTTCTCCATTACAAACAAGCTAACAGCATTCGGCGCTGATAGCTGATTGGTTGAAAACGAACAACTTGCAACTTTTTTCGAAAGAAGGAAAAAGTCGCACGTCTTTCTTTCAATAGTAAACCAGGCAGAAAAATTGTCCGAAACAGTTGTTCATGTGAAACAAATGCCGTGTGATATGGGCCTTACAGTGATACTCCAAATGCCCTATTCATATTTTTAGCATTTACTGACAAATATTCCTAAAACTTTTCTTAAAAATATCACAGAAATAAAAAAAATTCTGAAAAAATAAAGAAATTCATTATACAGTCAACTCTAGGTACCTTTTATTGACTCCTTATATTGATTCAAATTGATTCTGTAAAAATGAAATAAATTAAGTTTTTATTCCTTTATGTTAAATATACTAATTAATATACTATCACATATAATAATATTTTCTCTTGTTTAGTCTGTCCATTTAAAGAATTTCTAGCTATCTTGCCACTAAAAAACTTTTAGATTATATATTAAGATATATATGTAAATATAGGCGTGTTTTGTAGCTTTAAAATAATTGAACGTTAATCAATTAAAATTTTTATTTAATAGAAAAAACACAACTCTCAAAATCTACTTACTGCTCTTAATTTCTTGAACTATATCATCATCAAAATTTATCCTATCCAGAGCATGAGAGGCAAAATAGGTATTATACATTTGCTGAGCTTGTAAATGTAATGCTTCTAATTCTTCCTTGGTCAAATCAGGATTTAAAATTCTTGTATTAAATTCATCTAAGACAGAATGATATGATTTGAAGCGCAAATGAGTTCAGATATAGTGTATTGCATTTATTCAAGACAATAAATTCCAACTCATTAAAAATAATAACTAACTTACCAACACTCAAATGAAACTGAAGAACATTTAATGCTGATTCTTCTTTTAAAAACTGCATGAACACATACAACAAGCGTTGATCTTCTAAAATCGTTTGCAGATCTGTATATAAGACCTGAAATAGAGAATGTTTTATAACATTTTGTTTCTTTTCATTACAATAACTTGTTAAAATTTGCACACAAAAATAATTGAACATACTGGTCTCCTGTTGACTGAATGCGAAGAAATGAAGTTGGATAAAAATTCCACCTTTGGCTCAGTACTATCAGGTAGATTTGCCATCTTAAAATATATTGCGTGCCATTAAAACCAAAGAAATGTCTACAACCATATATGAAATATAACATTATGAATTATTTCTATAAAAATACTCACTGGTGTTTTATCAAAAAACAGAATAAGTAAATGATTAATGACATCCTGCAACAAAGTTAAATATGAGTAAATAATACAGGAAACTATATATATCTTATACATATAATCTTAATATGCTTATTCAAATGAATTTAGAATTTGTCATTACATGTTTAACATCTCAGAATTAATGAATAGCATAGTAAGCAACAAATACAGTATCAAGATAAACACAGATAATTTTTATAAGGGAAGACTTACAAAATGCAGATTTGACACAGTTTAGTTCACAAATTGAACCAATCTTTGTATAAAGTGATACTTATACAATGAAAGGTACAAAGAAAAGAAAAATTTTGCCGTGAAAAGGATAACAAGAATGAAAATATGTTAGGAAAACACCAAAGCAAGGTTTCAGGGCAGGTTGAACTTTAACGAAAGTGTCTGGAAAAAATGCTCTAGAAGGCATATAAAAACATCTGATGTGTACACCACATGACTTCCTTGTACGGAATATTAAATTATACGCATTTTTTCTTGCATTTCATTTAAACTTATTGGATTGAATTAAATCTACTTCGCCAACAGCGCATAAACCACAATAGAATAAATGCATTCTTTAAAATTCACTCTAGTATTTGTTTACCATAGCGACACTCCGGCGCTAGATTCACTTAACAGTATTAATAATTATATAACAGTTAACTTATATAATAATTATATAATGGAAACTAAGTTAACTGTTATATAATCCAATAATTATATAACAGTTAACTTATATACTTCGTTCATATTATAACTCAAAATGCACAAAATTTATATCATTTAAAGAATATAATTATCTAATCGTTGCCACATGTTCTATTCAAATACTATAATAAAGCTAGAATGATGTATAAAAGAAATTAAGCAAACTAAACAAAAAAGAAACAGTTTTTCACAGACGATTGAGTATTTCTCATTTAATTAATTCAGTTCTCACTTCGCGAGAAGGCAAAATTACATAAAAACTCAAATATCTATACAGTCAAAAGTCGTTAATTCGGACACCCATAATCCGGACCTCAAAGCTAAAATCTTTCTGCGCATGAGCCGCGTTGACGCATGCTCATAGGCGTTTTACGCGTGCGCGCAAGACATTTACGACTGCATATATGCGTCTGCGCAAGCGCAGAATATGTTTTTGCATGCGCGTTTAATGTATAACGGACGGTATAAGCTAAAATTATCTAATTATCTATTTTAGTTAATGATGATGATTGCGTTGTTCCTTATTCTTCGAATTGGATCCGGCTTATTATTTTTTGCAGACTGTAAAAGCAATTTTATAAAAGTAAGCTTGAACTTTCGATTATGTCAAATAGAATTTTTGATGCTGGAGCTCCCAAAGGATCTAGAAAACGAAAGTATGTTTCGATGTCCATCAAACAAAAAAACAATTGCTACAAAAAATGGATAAAGGTATATCCTTTGTTTATCTAACTGCTCCGAAATCTGTTTATCAATTTCACGCTGCTCTGAGCGGGGGGGGGGGGGGGACGTCGTGGCACGCAATGAACTGAAAGTTGATCTGTCAGCACTATCATTATCTTCAGAGCAGATGTTTTTATTTTATTCGGCTTATAATTCCTTACTAAATGTAGTATTTAATCTCGATGTACTCCGTCTTTGATATGATTTAAATCAAATTCCTCGTCATTATAAATATCACAAATACAAATCAAATAGTTTTCTGGTTGCAGTTTTCTAATTTCGGCTATGCGTAAGGTACGCATGTGCGCGTTGAGCAATGAAAGAAATGTTAATAAAGTAAACAAATAAATATTAAGGCTTCTTTTTTTGTAAATTTTGATACCCTTTAGATCATAATTGCTCATTATTTTATAAATTACGGTTTAATATTTTTAATTTTATAATTTCTGCATGCCATCTTACCAGATTTAAACTGATGATCTATAATCCGGAAAAATCGATAATCCGGAATCGCCGAAGTCCCGATGAGTCCGGATTAAAGACTTTTGACTGTATTAAAAATTAAGAAGTAAATCTTAAACACTTATTTCTTCAAAAAAATTCCAGAAAGAATTAATTGATTTAATTGGCAATAATAAATGAATGGGTTATCTTTGTTGTTGTGAAGCTAAGTTTCTCTAGATTGGCAACAAATCCACTAGTCTCCTGTTTCAAATGTAAACATCAATGGCCGCCATAAAAAAAAAGGCTTAGCGACACTTAGACAACTTTAAAATTGTTGATAATTCTAAAAATATTGCATACAGATTTACTAAAGGCATAAAAACCTTAACCGGAAGATAAGAACAACATAATACAATAATTTTTAAAGCAAAAAATGTACAATTTACAAACATATAAGAGTAATGAAACTGAGATCACTGAGCCGGGTAACAGAGTGGAAGTCTTGGTAAAAAATAATATTCAGAAAACAAACTTAACTGGATCTGCAATAATATCCATCACAGGTAGGAAAACAATACCAGAGAAAATTTCTCGAACCAATGATGTCGCAGTTCTGAAAGGAAAAATTATACTTTATATAAAAACAAAATAAATAAATAAAAAGAAAAGAATACAATAAGTCACATAGATTATACCTGCAATTCAGATATTTTTGTTGCACAATAAAAGGTAAGAGATTTGATGTCAGCTGCCTTAAATAACCGAGTTCTGCTTGACGACTTCGCATTGCAGGATGCAGCTTATCGCCTAAAAAACACAATACTTTCTCTTCCATATTAGTTGAAGCTTTTTCTAGTTTCATAGCTTGAAGATAGCAATCTAGGTGTTTCAATAATGCATTAGCTGCTTTGTCAGTTATGAGTTGCACAATATCTACCTAAAATTTAGAATTAATTTCTTAGGTATATCAGGATGTTTTTAGCATTTCAAACATCTAAAAGAAATATTAAGCTTGAATACAAATTTGCACTGTAACTAAGGTTGGTTAAAAATTTAAAATTCATATTAAAGTCTGAAGATATGAAAATCCTTAGAATGTAATTTGAAAGAAGAATCCTGAAACTGGCAATAAATGCTAAGATATAAAAACATATATAAAGCCTATTCATTTATAATTTTAATGCATGTTGTTGATTCTAAAGTAAATCATTAGCAAATCCATGGGCATAACCAGCTCAAAATAGGGGGTCCTATTATGACTCCTATGGCTACACTGTTCTTTTACCTATTGCTGCGTCTTCATATAGATAGATAATTATTGTACAATTATTAATGATAATATGTTAATAAAATAATTATATTATGTCCTTTATTATTAATTACAATAACTTAATGATGTAGCATAATTAAAGATATATTACATTTAATTAACATATTTATAATTATTATCTTACAAACATATTCAATATATATTTCTTTATTTCTATTTTTCACCTTAACCATTTTAACCTTTGTTAAAATAATTTCAAAAGGTGTGTAATAAAAAAAATAACAATGAACAAAAATAGAATAATCCCTAAAATACTTCTAGTATTTTACTTCCATTCTGATATACATTCACATACATATAAGAAATATTAAAATAATTTTGAAATTCATATTACTTGATTTCACACTAAACAACTATAAAATTTAATAATATTTAAGTTCATATTTCTATTACTATATATAATTATATAACTAAATATATTGAATATAAAAGTTGCATATGCATAATTTATTTTGGACATAAACTGCAAATAAAAAGGCACACATTTTTCTGCCCTTTCAATTTGATTCAGCAATTATAATATTCTGGAATTCCATTTTTTTGTGGCTGTTAACTGGCAAATATAACGTTGTCAACTGATATTGCTTTGGCATAATGCATATGCATTAGTGCCAAAGAACTTCTGTGCTCTTCCATCATAATATAGCTATTGTAATTTCCTAACCTTTTCAAAGCACTCGTGGAATGTTCACATTTGCATGTTACCAACAGTGTAACTGCTATGTGCAAAAGTATATCAATATTTGGGAAAAAGTCTGTAAACAAAAGCTGGTATGTCTGGGAGTTTTGCTTGGGAAGTAGACATGAAATGCGGTCACGAACATTTCATTCCTTTGTTTAGAAGTTTTGGAGGTTGTAAATGGTCTTTACATGTTGCCTTCTACTTATATACAGCAATTTCATTTACATGATCAGTGCAAACTGATGGTAGTTTGTGAAACAGATGTAATGCAGTCTTTTTTAAATAGGAAAATGGAGATTTTAATTGGAAAATGAGATGGTCAAGTAAAGGAGCTGCTAAAATAGTTTTGCAGTAATTAAACACAAAATCACAATAAACACTATTTTAGTAGACTTGCTTTTGAATGATGTGTGGCATTTTAAGCTCCACACCTAATTTTAAATGCATATGGTAAAATATGACAAAAATATTTGCAAAACTCTTTTTCACATGTTCACTCTCAAAAATATAAAACTCAGTTATTTCCTGGGCCATATTATAGACTTCAGCAACATCAACAGCTTATCCCTGAAGATCAACTATAATTCTTTCTAAATGAGATAGATGATGATATGCAGTTATGAATGCTACCATGAATACATATGAAATGATTGAATGCAGCAGAGCCATAGCATCTCATTTACAAAGCACAGTCCATTGATTATACATGTAAACATTTGGTTTGGTAGAGTACACAATATGCTCCATGGCCTTAGTGATATTGAAACAACTTTGATACAGATGCTGGTACGCCTAACGCTGCATAGCCCATTTTGTTCCAACAAAGGTTTAATATTATTTTTCACTGACTTGAATCATATATGGCATTCTAATTGACAATTTAAGTGAATAAATCATTTCATTTTAGACTTAAAAAAATAATAAAAGAAATTTCAATTGAACCAACATATTGTGAATTAAAGTAATATTGCATGAATATATGATTACAAGATTTGGGCAATGAGAACTGCAATGCACGTACATTGCTTTGGAGCCTAAGTTTTAATACGAGCTTGAACTCCAACTTTCTTTGACAACATGTTACCAGCTCCATCATAACTCTGACCTCTGATGTTGCTCATATGTAGCCTGAATTTTGAAATTATTGAAATTAAAGAAGATGAAATATTACCCTGTAATCCTATTCAGTCTGAGAAAAATCTAGGAGTTCTTGTCTAATATATATACTTTTTACTGCTGACAAGTCTTATGCACTATGATAAAGTTTCCATATTATTTGAAGTAACTTCATCAGCGATTTAATGGAATAAAATTTAATTTCTTCAATGATATCTTCCTGAATTATTTGGTGTTTTATAGTACTTTTCCCAGCTTATTTTGCATGGCAGATGACAAATAAGTTGCATTTCTCATGGCTTGAGAACTTAAATGTTGCTGTAAATTTTCTGCATAATTAGACAGCATTCCGAGAACATATATTGCCTGGATTTTCTGCCTGTTCAAGTTTTTTTCTTGGAATGTACATTGTGAATGAATGCACTGACTTAAAAAAAGGTTTCTTTCTTATGTACAAAAAAAAAAAAAAATCATTATATTACAGACAGCAAAATCAATTTCAAAATGGCACTTACCCAACTGCAACATGGTTGATGTGTATTAGAAATTTATTAAAAAAAAGAAGTGTTGTGGTGCACAAATTTAATGCAACCTATGAACAAGTTAATTTCGAAGTGATAACAGTTTTGTAATGGAAGGATGCATTTGGGACCAGGAAAAGAGACATTGAGATCGACTACCAGTATCAAATCCAGTTATTGATCATGTCAACAATGGTCGATTTGCTAGAATGCATCACTGAAGTTGCCAAATCAATCATACTGGATATGCTTTAGAGAATGTGGTCCAAGGTTGATCATTGTATTGTTTGCTGGGTAACACATGAGGTGCACATCAAAAGACTTACTGACACCAGATAAAACTTGATTTTATGCTGAAACTATATTCATAAAAGCAAAAGAATATTCTAATAAAGTCTGATTCTATAGTTACTGCAAATCAAATAGTGTTTTTTCCTGGAAGGCACCTATATTTGTATTTTCTTTCAAATGCAGCAAAATGACTTAATTTTGCATTTCTTCCTCAGCCTGTCTTCTTTTTCATTTTGCACACTGCCATTAAATGAAGCAATATAAGAAATATTGCAAAGATATGGAGTATTCCAAAAAAATGCAAGACTCCGTTTATGATTTATGAAGGAGATTATTGTGAATTTATGATTTATGAAGGAGGTTATCTTGAATTCCGAAGCTGCAAAAATGAAAAGGAAAACAATACAGAAAACCAGACCTTTGTATGTGATAAGTAGTTTAAGACTCCAGGAACATCGACCTAAACAGTTCACCCAACCTTTCAGCTTGCAAAATGGTGGAAATACCAGAGATCACCCCTGAGACCTAAACTTTTCAATTTGCATGTGAATGGCATTCCACAAAAGCCAACACCATACTAGCAATTTACAGCAATCCCTTCACGAAATGTTTTTCTTCATCCAGCATTACAAGACCTTAACCAGGCACTTCTGACCCAGTTAGTTAGACAAAAAGTGAAAATTAGTGTAACCAAATCTATAGCTGTTCTTTTCACAAGGATAAAAGAAGATTGATGAAAACATAAATCTGTATGATTCCTTCATGGCCTGGGTTAGATGTGTCACGTGTTACTTATCTAGGGGGAATCCTTGAAAACAAAAAAAACCTCTCTTTTCATATACAGTCTATCATCTAGAAGTTCCAGGTCCATAAAGCTACATTAACTGTCCAGAAAGACGTCTATCTCTAGACAACAAGTTACACATCTACAAAACCATATCAGTCTCATCTTCAGTTATGATTGCTCTGTTTGGCCACTCTCCTGCAAAATCAATCTGAAGCAACTTCTGACTGCTCAACATTGCATCCTAAAACAAATTAATTAACTGCTCGCCATGATTTGTCACGAATAATGTAATCCATGAAGCATAGCACAAATTCATGCCTACTGCATCTCCTGGCACACAATTTCCACTTGAATATTAGGAACTCAAACAGCAGCATCAATCCTATTTCTAATTATGACTGCAATTCTCACAATTAAGTGAAGCGACCAAAGGCCATCTTAAATAGTAATGTCTTTGTCCTATAAAAACTACACCTAATTTCTCAGCAACATAATACCTATTTTCAGTGGATCCCATCCCATGTGGATATTTATGGCAACGAAATGGCAGACAAACTAGCAAAGGAGGGTTGTGGCTTTTTAACTCCCTCCTCTTCCACCCTTACCTATCTGGAATTATATTATCTGAAAACATCACAAATCATGGTGGAGTGGTTGCTGCTCTCCACCCATCTCTGGTACCTGGGCAGCAAGCCTGGTTGGACTCTAACCCTTAAGTGTGACAGGTGCTCCCTAACTGCACTCTCACATATTGTTAGTGGTCATATTATCAGCTTCTCTTTCAAGGAGGGCATGAAAACCTTTGCCACATGCACCAAGTGCCGAGAACATCAGGCATCTGCCGAGCACATATTAAGCTACTTGGGCCACTTGAGGGAGGATATTTACTCAATCCCCCCTCCTTGTGCTCGACTTTCTTAGAGTCAAGGATCTTTTGGACCTTGTCTGACTTTGGCAGAAATTAAAGGAAAAGCAACAACAACAACATGGTTTAATGAAGAGTGGTTATGTGCAGAGTTTGGCACATTCTGTGGCAACTTCTACTAAGATGGCTGCGATAACATTAAGTACTTTATTAAGATCTTACTGGAATATAAACTTATTTTATTACTGAAAAAAGTCAAAATCCACTTACTTGTAAAGCTCTTCTTAAAAGACTAGAGAAAAGGAACCTTAATGAAGTCCGAATTTCTTGAACAAAATCTTCATCTTTACTTAAAGAACTAAAGGTGGAGAAAAAAACAGATGTTCATGGTTAAGATATAACTATAAAATACAGTTTCTTCCCTTCAAAATAAATTACAGCCCTTCTTTAAATTCAACAAGTAACAGCATTTTCTGGAAACTAAAAATTCATTTCAGACTAAACTGAAGTATCAGCTGAATACCAAATATGACAATTTTGTTGTTAGATAATGAGGTACAGTCTTATTATAGCAGTCCCCAAAATTTAATCACAAATCAACCGAGATGCAACATGTAGCAAGGTATAAGAACCTGCAATGAGATATCTTGGTTGATTAGATATAATATCTTGGAGACCACTATAATAAGAAAGCACTGATAATGATTTTATTCTGATAACCATAGTTTCGTTGTTAGATGACCTTCTTCTGGCAATTTTTTTTTTTTTTTTTTTTTTTTTTAAAGCCCAAAAGGGTGTTAGCCCGAACGGGCTATCAGTCTCAAAATGGTACTTGGCAGCATATTGCTTTAAACGTTTGAATTACTTTTTAAATTGTGCCATGAAATAATATCATCCTGTATTATTTTTAAAGACATTAAATAATGAAGAATCTGCATAAATGTATGTATGCCTCTTGTGCTGGGAAAAATAACCGTACCTAAGGCCATCAAATTTTGAATAACGCAGTCTTCCACCCGAATATGCGCATCTGGAAGCTTGAATTTTGAATTTTACATTTCATATTTTGTAAAATTTTAATGACTTTTAAAGAAACTCAATGATTTGAAAGCTAGCAATGGTAACTTTGTATGGATTAAAACATTGTTATCACTAATGCACAAGACTATATTGGAAATTCTAAAGATATGCTGTTTTTAAATATTTTGAGATTTTGCTATTCAACTGAATTTAATGTATAAGCACAAAGATTATGATATTACATTAATACATTCCACACATAAAACATTAATAACAAATAGCACGCCGCCAAAAGTTTAGCAATCCATCTTCACTGTACATTGATATGATGCACTGAGAAAAAGAAAAAAAAAAAAAAAAAAAAAAAAAAATTCATCGGAAATTTTAAACACATGCTATTTAAAAATTCTGCTGTTAAATTTATATGGTGTAAGTGTGAAGAAAATGATACTTAATAATATAGCTAAAAAGACAAAAAGAAATGGGTTAGCAGGTGCGAGTGCAACAGCAGACTGGAAAATTGGGAGCTCAACATATAGAAAAACCTTAACAAAGCCTTTTGAGCCTTTTGAGATTTCTTTGGTCTACTTAGTCTGCATTTATATATATATATATCTATACAACTTAATTTGATTGTGGGATATTTCTCTCTCAGTTAGTTCTCCATTTTTTTATTACGATTTGCTATTTTTTCAAATGGCTTATTTTTAAACAATGAAAACAGAACCCCTCTTTTATTTTCATTACATTGAGGTTTTAATTATTTTGGGGCAATCACAATCACAATCATGACTGGCATATAATGCTGAGGCTATGTGCAATGCTGATTTTGTACAATTCCCCGATTTTTTTAAAAATTATTATTTTAGCAAAAACAGATTGTTATATATATGGAGAATATGATGGCGGGGAAAAAAAATTACAGAAGGATTTCTTGAAAAGGGGGTTTTCTTTTTTAATGTATCATATATTACTCATTAATTATTAAAAATTTGTCTTTTAAACTGCTAAAGGCTTTTTTAATATGTGACTGTTGATAACATTTGATGACTTATGATAATTGCTGACAGTAGAGTTTATCTAAATTTTTTTTTTTTTTTTTTTTTTTTTTTTTTTTTGGCATAAGATAGGTTTTACCACATTTGAAAAATGTTTAAATGCAAATACTACCTTTTTTTATTACATTTATAAAATTATAATTATTATTATCTATTATTTTACTTTATATTAAATTACACAATTTTGCTCAAAGAAGAATCACAAACAGATAATTTCTTTACATTTAAATACATTCATCATAATAAACTCAATAGTTTAAAATTCTAAGATGTAATGTATTAGTAATCATACAAATTATTATGGCATATTCAAAAGATCAAGAATAAAATTTATGCTTTAGTAAATTATTTTGATTTTAAATAGCTGGCAACCAAAATGAAAAACTATGCATTTAGAATGCATGCATTATTTACTTACAGAAGTAGGGTTTTAGATAGAAAAAGTGAAAAGCATATAAAAAATTATCTTTACTTATGATCTATATTTATAATCCAAGATACCTTATAATTATCTCTATTTATGGTCCAAGATACTTAGGAATGTCCTTCAAAAAAACAAGTATAATATAAGCAATGAATTCTCTTCAAGGATTTGATTTAGTATGGCTTAGTTTGTTATGGCAAAGCACACTAGGGCTAACTGCTTAAGAAGAGGGATGCCTTCATGGAGGACTTTCTAAGTGAAACTGGCTTATATATCTGCTACACATGGGAAAATCCATGAAAACGGTCATGCAGCCAGCCCTTTGCCTGGATTTGAAACCAGATCAGAACTACAGTATTTAGCAATTTTACTACTTGGCTGTTGGCGGGCTTCCTCTTCAAGGAAAAACATTCCACTTTTCCAACAACACAAAATAACTTTTTTGGCAGATTTTTTTATTAAAAAAAACTTGGGTAACTTTTATTAGGATGTTTTACAATTTATTATTCAAACAGCACTTTTATAATAAACATGAATTAATTTTGTAAGATATACATACCTGTATTAATATACTATCTGAAATAAATTTAGAAAATAAAACAAAATTTTACAATACCTTATGCTTCATACAAATTTATAATTTTCAAATGCTTCTATATAAAAAGATTAAACTGAAGGTGATGACTTATTTAAGTAACACTGGCAAAGACCAAAGATGTTAATTTCTGGATTATTCTTACTTGATTTATAAAAAATTCTTGATATTAAGAAACAGAAGCTGTAATATTACACTGTTAACTAATGTAAGATAAAAATATTAAGTAATATATGTATTCATTATTTTTAAATGAATAATACATACCTATACCAAGAATAAATATGCTTTTCAATCACAAGATTCAATATCTGAAATGTGGAAAAAATTTTCTATACATTTATTGAAGAATCTAAATGAAAAATTAGATTTACTGGAGGAAACATAATTTTAATCAAGGGAGGTAAAAATAAAATTTTCAAATCTTTTCAGCATGGAAGAAACCTTTACATAAACCGGTACTTATGTATTATCACAACCAGGTTGGCGCGATTTGTAAGTTTGAGTAAAAAAGTATGAATAGAAAGAAAATGTACATTTATTTATTACAGATAATTTTTAATACAGTTTTTTATATTATTTTGTTTTAAAATATAAAATAGCAATTAAATCCTTCCGGTTTCGAATTTGAATAAGTTGCAGAATTATTTTTTCGTCGGAAATCTTTTGGCTATTGCTTTTAGCACTGATTGAAAACCGTCTCGCCCATAACAGCTTGAGCTTGGTTGCCATATAAATTCGATAAGGTATGAGTCAAGATGTGATGGGCTGTTCTCTCTGTTTTTGTTGTGCCATTTGGCTGAGCCCTACATGCGCTCTACATGTTGTGTGTGAACGCCCGTGTTGGGATCCACAAAGTTATATTTGTGATTAAAAGTTCCATGCAGAAATCCAGCATTTCGAACTCACTTGTATTGTATCCTTTCCAGCAATCCGAATAAATGATGCTTCCTTCCTTGATATTTCGCAAATTTTTCCATGAAGGTAAACGCGCTTCTGTTAGGTACAGTAACCAAAAAAGTCTCTTTCTTTCCCCGGCAAATTCCGTCGAAAACCCATTGCTGTAGTAGTACACGCCCAGCGTTATTTTTCTTTTTACAAATAACCATTTAAGTATTCCTCAGGGCATTCAATTACCAGTAAGAAAAAAATTTCTTTACGAAAAACTACGTATAACACGTAGGTTTGGCGTAAGTAGGGTCGCCAAATTTGGCGATTTATGCGAATTTTGGTCTGGTTGCGTTAATACGTAAGTACCCATAAACCTTTCAGAATGGAATTACATATAATGATGTATAAGTACTAGTGTATTACAAATACAGCACATGTTATAATGACTCCAGGCTTTCAAAGCACAATTACATCATTAATAGGAAAAGAAACATTCAAGTCAAATGTTCACAGTTTTGACAAAGTTTTCATGTACCTATTCAGTGTGGTATAACAAATTTAAGTCCTATAATACAAACTACTGAATACTTATTCTAGTATCAGCCAATCCATCTGAATGGCAACTACAAAAACATTTTGGGAACTACTCTGATATGCACACTCAAGTCGCCAAATTTCTCGCTGCCATATTACTATCTAAATTTTTTGTCTACATTTCGAACTTTAAGCCTAAAATGTCTCCAAAAACGCGGTTTTCGCACATGAAAAAATTACGTTTTGAACACACAATTTAAGCTAAAAATCCGAAACAAAAACAAAAAATTTAGATAGCAAAAACGTAAAGTTTCTAACAAAAAATATTGACAAGAATCAATGTACCACAGCGACATGTTTAACTTAAAAAAACAGCTACGAATGGCAACAATGTAGGCAACGAACGAATCTACAAACTACGCACACCTCGCTTTAATAAATTAACATAACAACAATATAAATTTCAAAGAATACCATGTACACAGCATCCTGTTTAAACTTAAAAAAATTCTACAAATTGCACAATTTAGGCAAGGAAGGAATCTACGATCTACGCACCCTCGCTTTAATAAAATAACATAACAATAAATTTCAAAATAATACCATGTACACAGCATTCTGTTTTCAACTTTAAAAAACATCTACGAATTGCACAGTCTAGACACTAAACAACAAAATAAATTTCAAACAATTCAAACAAAAAAAAACAACAATAACGACAGAAATTCATACTAAAGAACCAATGAACATAACATTCTACAAAATAAGAACAAGGATAAAAATAAAAATGCACTTACCATGAATTAATGCGTTTTCGAATAGCAGAAATATAAATTTCATACCGCCTTTAACATGCCGCCACGTAATCACTATCGTATTTACATGACAGCCAGACACACTATCCAGAAAATTTATACTATGGTTCACAAATAAATAAAATCACAAATCCCTACTTCTATCATGCACAGCCACTAAAAATAATCTCCCAGGTCCTCTTTCCACTCCTTCCAAACACCCAACTGCCCCTCAACAGGATAGCCACAATGATATATTTTCCTTTTGACGAAATTTCAATTCAATAACTTCCACCATTTTATCTTCCCTCTCTATCTTCTCAGATACAGACGCGAACCAATGAGCTTCAGCAAAAGATTTTTCAACGTCAACAGGATTGCCATACAACACGCAATCACACCCAAAACCAGCGCAGAACACATATCGCTACATTTGGTGAAATTAGGGCGTAATTAGAGTTGTACCATAAATTTCAAAGAATACCATGACACAGCATCCTGTTTAAACTTAAAAAAAATCTATGAATTGACTTATTTAGGCAAGGAACGAATCTACGATCTACGCCACCTTGCTTTAATAAAATAACATAACAATAAATTTCAAATAATATGTGTACCATGTACACAGCGTTCTGTTTCAACTTTAAAAAACATCTACGAATTGCACAGTCTAGACACTAAACAACAAAATAAACTAAAATAAATTTCAAACAATTCAAAAAGACAACAATAACGACAAATTTATACTAAAGAACCAATGAACATAACATTCTGCAAAATAAGAACAAGAATAAAATAAAATGCACTTACCATGAATTAATGCGTTTTCGAACAGCAGAAATACTAATTTCATACTGCCTTTAACATGCCGCCACATTAATCACTATCGTATTTACATGACAGCCAGACACACTATCCAGAAAATTCATACTATGGTTCACAAATAAATAAAATCACAAATCCCTACTTCTATCATGCACAGCCATTAAAAATAATCTCCCAGACTCTCTTTTCGCACCTCCAAATAGCTACTACCTCTCAACAGGATGGCAACAATGATATTTCCTTTTGCTGAACTTCAATTCAACAATTTCTACCATTTTATCTTTCCCTCCCATCTTCTTTGACACAGACGCGAATCAACAAGCTCCAGCGAAAGATTTTTCAATGTCAACAGGGTTGCCACAGAACCTGCAGTCGCACCAAAAACCAGCGCAGAACACATATTGCCACATTTGGTGAAATTAGGGCGTATATCTGAGTTGTACCACATTTTGTTCCAATTCCACTAAACCCCAGAGAAACTAGCTGGGTCTCGAATTCATTTCCAGAGTACAATCCAACATTATTTCAGTTATAAATTGCTTTATAAGTGGATTAGCTTTGCAGGTGGTGACAAATAGCCACGCTTGGCTAGGCCACCCAAGAGACTGGATTTAAGACTGCATGGTCTGCAATGTCTCTTAGCCTGAAGAATGTGAAAACAAGATGCCTATTTCATTTTCTGTCTCAAGATTTAATCAAAGCAACACTAAACTATCACTTAAAAGGACCATACAAAATAATTATGTGTCAATATTCTAATAAATTAAGTAATAATGTGTGCAATATTCTAATAAATTGAGTAAAATTATTTAACATAAAATATATAGTACTATTAAAACCTGATGATGAATATACATGATCAAACCTGTATAGAAATGACAAATTTGTACATTAAAATAATGCTACAAAATAAAATAATTTTTGTAACATTACAAAAATATTATTTAATACCTATATAGAATAGAAAAATGCCAATATAAAATTAGGGGTAGGATAACTTCAGAATACTCTAGATGCTAAATAAAGCTCTATTGATTTCAAGAACAAACTGGCATTATTCCTTTTTTTAAGAAGGGGAAAAAAATAAATAAATAAAAAATTGCTACCTTTTATAAAAAGGAGGATAGGAAGGGCTATAAATATTTGTGCATTAATTAGTGACGGATGACTATGTGCATTTAATCATACTGAGGTGGTATTATTAGTAAGTACATCTATCTAGCATTCGTTTTTGCAAATTGAAGTTAAATATTCATTAACTGAAGCTCTGAACAAACACTGAAGATACTAATTGGCTAATAATGAATTCACAGTAGTCAATAATCACATATAATGCAGTTCCAATCCCTTATATCTTTACTGAAACTGCTGAACTAGAACTTTAAATTTATAAATTTGACTTGTCAGAACTTGAGTTAAATACGTTTTTTCCTCTCTCTCTCTTGAAAAGAGGGACTTATCTCAGTTCACTTCAAAATTAAATATAATTTCTGGAACTTATATATCAGTAAAACCACCTTGATGATGTTTTATAGAAGAAAAGGAATAACTTATAATTGAAAAAAAAAATTAAGCACATATACACATATTGTTACATACATATTTAACATTTTAATTAGGTACTGCAAAAATTAATCAAGATAATAGCTTACAGTGCTCACTCCCTTTTTGTTCTGGTGGAAATTTTGATTACTGGTAATCCCTTTAAATTATTGGTTCATAGGAGTCATCTCTTTAGTGATTATGAAGTAAAATACTGTATTCCTTCACTGCAAGCAAATCTCCTAAACACATAATATTTAAAGTGAGTTTAAAAAAATGCCATCTTAACAGCATTATGGGCATGTGGAGCAAACTAGAGCTCTGGGGCCTCTAATACGGTAACCACTCACAGAAATGAAATGTATATATATATTACCATGGGGTCTGTATGCTGGTAGGCCACCCAAGCTAGGGCCCACTGGGACCATGTGTTAGGATGGCCCTGCTGATACCTAATTAGATTCAAATCTTATACTGTATTAAAAATATGCTTGAATATGCTTTAATGATTGATTTTAGGACCTAAAACAAATAATTTTGCAATACAGCACAGAAAAATACTGGTGTGGCATTAAGTTTGATTGAGGCTTACATAACTAAGGCAATAAATTATATTCTTAGAAATGAAAGCTTTGTAAATTTACTTATCATTACATATTAGTCAAAATATTTAATTTAGCTGATATGAAATAAATAACAGACAGTGAGAAATAAGTATAAACAATTATACTAATCTCACAATAACTGTCCTCAAAAAACTATTAAACCATTCTAAATGGGACGCATAAAGAGGTAAATATCCTGAATTTTTCTTTGTTGAAAACAGTAATTTACTGAGAAAGAATTCAATGGCTAAATGGATATTTTCTTTGGCAGAAACGCCTTTATGGAGAATTTTTTTAAAGGGAATTGTAATCCATATTTATCTTATTCATTATTTGATTACTGGATGCAGAAACCAGGACAAAACTACAAGTATTGTATGGTTTTATCCCAATCACAGATGGAGCATACCTTCAAAAATGAGCAAGATTGCTTCAAAACATTGTTTAAAACTTCTGATCAATAGAAAAATTAAAAACAATATCTTTAACAATAAACTTCCATAGTAAATGGAGAGACAATACCTTATTTTCTTAAACATAAAAATGTTTATAAATTGCATTACACAATTTAATTTTTATTAATAATATAGTCAATATCTTTTATTTATTTTTAAAAAATATCTTTTTTTTTAGATAATAATTTGGCCAAAAAGGAAACTATTTGAAATATTACTTGTTAAACAAATAATCTCATAATATGCATTCATATCATGAATATTCACATATGAAGAAAATAATACAAACTTCTTCAAAAGCTTGGTCAACTTCCTTTGGCACTTTCAAGTTCATCCATGGTTTAGATGTATATACATTTAACTCTGGACGGTGTCTCTTACATTCAATGACACCGCATCTAGAACACACCGTCCGAAGTTTAGAATTCAGATTTTCCTAGGAAAAAAGAAGCATTAAAATTAAATTTATTCATGATTGTATTTACATAATTTTAAAACAGATAAAAAAAAATATACACACATGCCTTAAAATCTACGGGAAAAAGTAGCTGAATTTTTTATTACACATAATTTTTACAGATAATTGAAAATACAATATAATTTCAAATAATTACATTTTTTGGTCGTTTAAAAGTCATTATCACATTAGGTAATGGGTCCCCTTTCCTAGAAAGGAAAAAGGAAACAAAAAATATAATTACAATATTCCAGGAAATGCATCCTAAAAATAAGATGTTAAATCGATTGCATGCATGTAAAATATTAAAATTAGCAACTTAATAAAATATAATACTAACCTCAGCAAAATATGTGCTCCAAAACAACCAGCAATATAGCAGATACATATTGATACTCCGCTCATACAACTAATAAACATTAAAATTTCAAAAGAAGTTAAATTTTTATACGAAATTTGAAGCTACATAATAACTTTTTTACGGGAATAATAAACTTTCTTAAAATTAATAAGTAAATATTAATAAAACATAAAGATAATAGCTTTCGGAAAAACTAATGAAATTATAAATACTTACTCGAATAAAACAATAAATAAAACAGAAATTAAAATCACTATACTGGAGACTATGATGAAACACCTTTCTCCAAAAACACAGTTTTTCCAAACTGACACCCCTTCGTTTCCATCCATGCTCGTATTTCTAAATTATGACTTAAGAGCATATACCATTACAGCAGAATATAGAATACAGCATTATGACTGGTAATAAAACAATGCATTTAAAACAATGTATTTAAAACAATGATACTAAAGCTATAACAGACGATCCATCCCACTCATGCACTTTTTTCCCACAGATTTCCGTATTTCAACACACACACAGACAAAACACAGAAGTCTTAAAGTGCACTTTAATCTAGAGAGACATTTTGCCCGAAGGATAGAAACACTAGCATTGCTCTCATAAATAAGAATGGATAGTAAAAAATAATACTGGAAACTGCAAAAATTTTTGTTTTCCTATATCCTTATTTGTGCCGTCCAGACGGTATAGTGTAAGGCTCCTGTATACCAGGCTGAATCATCATTCGCCATTTGCGAACTCAAGTGGGAATATTTATGGCGGCTGCATAGTTATCGGCGCAACAATTTCTTGTGCTTTTTTGTGTACAATGGGGGGACGTGCAGCTAGTAATTGCTCAAAATCCTTCACGGAGAGTCATACATTGATAAGATTTCCTAAAAATAAAGAAAAATTTAAATAAGTAATTGCCGAAGAGATAATTGGGAACCTGGTTCAGGTGATAAACTTCGCCTATTGCCTAGTAAGTATAATATTATTTAGTCCTTCATTTAGTTTATATCTCTTAAATGTTTATAATGTGAGAGTAAAGTGTAATTCTTGTGTACAGTAATCTAAGTATCTGCTAATTTCTGCCATAATAGCTATAATTAAATTGGTCTAGAGTAAATGTACCTGTCGCCAAGCATCTCCAATGTGGATGTTATGAATGTGGGAAAGAAATTTCGCTTTTAATTCAATACGTATATTTTGTTTTCTTGTGCTAATTGCGGAAATTATAGTAATGTAATATGAAAAATCATTAGCATATTGAAATTAATTAAAAAATAGATATATAATTTAGAAAAAGTTAAAATCTGAATGTTTGTCAAAGATATAAGTAATGTAAAACGCGCTTTTTGCATGTAAGTATTTCAATATCGTTGACATTACTTCTAATTTTTTTGCTTATTTTATAATCACTATTATCGAAAAGTTAGATGAGTTGTTTTATGCATGGTTTCCACTAACACTTCTTGGTTAAAATAATTTCCAGAGTATTGACATTGAGGTCTAAAGTCAATAGAATACTATGGGATAAAATATATATAATTTGCTGTCAATAATTACAAGGATTGTGCAAGTACTATTATATTTGTAATCACAGTATTATTCACTTTGGCAATAGAGTAAAAATTTACAAATGCACGCAGAACATTCAGAAAGGCACATTGAATTTCTGAAAACTCGCATGTGTATTTTTCGTAAAATAATTGTAGTATTTTTAGTGCATAACAATCAAATCTGCCTGTAATGATGAATTTCAAAGGCTAAGTCAAAATTCATTTCATGAATTCAATACTTCTTAAGAATTTAATCTCATCGAAATAAATCCTCATTACACTGATCTGTGTTACGAAAGAGATTTTTATACATGATAAAAATTATTTTCTGAAGCCTTATTTTGAGTTGTCATCCCTGAATAAGAAACTGCCTGCATATTCAGAAGGCTCCTGAATGTTATGAAATATTTCATACATTTAAAAGAAAGTTTTTCTTCAGAGTCTTGTACTATTGTTTCCATAAACGAAAGTGTTTATAAGTTTGTTTTACATCATATTTAATTAACAACGTGTTCTAAAGTTATTTTTTTAGTATGAATTTAGTGATTTTATTGAAATTTTTGTTAAAACATCAATGAGATAAACTTATTTGCACACTTCACTATTTTTCCATTTGACACTATTGAACGTTTTTATTCATATCTTATTTATTTTACTCTACTAACTAAACTGAAACATCTAAAGCGTGAGTTATTTTGAATATGTTTTACAAAATATATGTGAAATTTTTAGAAGTGAAAAACCTCTATATGCTATTCGATAACTAATAATTTTCTGAAAAGTTTATATGCGTGGAATCTCACGCTTTAATAAAATCAATCTTTAAAAAACATGAGACATTTAACCAGTATCTGTGATAAACGCACCAAAACTGCAGTGCTTTTCCTTTCTCGCCAAGATCGAAAAGTTGATGATTCAGCCTGGTTATATAGGAGCTTTAATATAGTCGTATGGGGAGCCTGACTGCGATGCTGAAGGGCCCGGTATAGAATCCCGGAGAACATATAGATGAAAATTGTTTGTCCCTTCATAGGAGATAGCGATGGCCCCCTATAAAGCGTTTTCACAATAAAATGGTCACCACTCCTGGTCTTAGTAGTGACCAATGCCGTTATAGGCAAGTGCCCGCCGTTGGGGGAAAACATCCTTATCCGTATAGAAGAATTTAATAGTCAGATAAAAACTCCAGGCCGAAACAAGCAAACTAAAGAAATTCTCTCTCACTAAACGTTTACTTCATTTTAATCAACTTTAATTCAGATTTATTAGCTGCTATTACTGATCTTATTACTGATCTTCGATTGTAGCTGCTATTAATTTTATTGCAGCGGTAATGTCAGTAATATGCGTCGAATTTCAATAACGTACGTTCATATGGAATAATAAGAGGAAAAAATATCCGTTGCCTGTATGTTCCAGAAACTTCTGTTCCAGTCAAAAAATTACATTTTCTAATCTCTCGTTCACTGAAGAAATTTCTAGATTGGCAGACCTTATCTCTTCCCAAATTTTGTTATGGTGGCTAACTTCTAAGACGCAGCACTTCAGATTTTTCCTTCCACCTCGGCAATGTTCTCCTTCATCTCAGCTGTATTCGCTTCAGTGGAGGTTTTCATCTCAGTGACATTTGCAGTTGACATTTTTCCCATTCAACGGCTTCTTGTTTGCTGACAGTAATAGCTGACATGATAGATTTTAAATGAACCTTTCTGAGAAAACTGAAAAAATCTGCAATTTACTGAAATCTGTTTTTATGGCGACACTCTAGGCAGGTTAGACAGAGATTAGAATGGGCCAGATGGGTTGTGTAAAAACGCGCTTTTTGCATGTAAGGCCTAATGTAAACAAGCTATCAAGGAGGGGCTGAATCTCGGAAACTATCCTAGTGGATTCGCAGATAGAGTTGGTGATGTGTGTTGAAATTATTTTTTTTCCCTCCGATGGATTCAGTTTTTCTTTTATTTTTTATCGTCTGTCGCCGACTAGGTCACGTGACTGGCGGCAGAGAAGGAATGTAATACTTTTTAGTTTCAAGGGCGACGCCTTGAAATGATCTGTTCTTGGCCGCATAGCGGTAATGAACAATTATAATAATTGTTCTTGATAAATTAATTTTGTCCCTATGATGGGAAAATTTATATTATATGTATATTTGTGCTTTCAATAATGTAAATAATGTACATAAGTTCTTCATTAAATGTTTTGTTTTTTCTATAAAAAAAATAGAATCGTGAATTCGTGAGCATAAACGTGACAATTTTTATGTCACGTTTATGCTCACGAATTCACGATTCTATTTTTTTACATTCCTGGTGAGAGTACCATTGAAGCGCACTTCCAGATAATATGCTCTGGCTACTCGGGGAATTACTTTCGTTACACAGAGTGATATTCTTTGTTGATACGCCTTCTTTTATGTCTATCCCCATGAGCCAACTGGTATACTGGAAGGAATTAGTATCTTGGCAGTTACGGCACTGGGGGGACATTAACCCTGGCTATTTCTGTTGCTCCAGGGTTTGCTCTTTGATCCCTCAGAAGTGGCCTTGGTTTAAATTCATAAGCTGGTGGAGCTGAGTTGAGGACTTAGGTGGAGTGGTCTTCCACTCCACCTAAGTCCATGCAAACAAACTTAGGTGGAGTGGAAGACCACCTAAGTTTGTTTGCATAATTCCACCTGTAATGAGTATCCCGTGTAGAGCTGGCAGGCAGTATTTTTGATGGCCAGGATTCCACAGTCTGGTCAGTGTTTAGAGGGGATTTGAGAAAAAAATGTATTTAAAGTCTGCCGGCTGTGTTCAGTGGTGGGTTTAGAGAGAATTTATCTAAACTGCTGGCGAAGTCGTTTGCTTTGTTTTTGTCCGTGTAATTAGTGATGAAGGGTTTATTGTTGAATTCGTTGTTTTTCAAATTTCGACTAAAACTCTAAAAGCACCATTCCCTGAAATTTAATAAACTTTTCTGGACGGCCTTATTTCTAGATTAATCTATATGATCAATATATGGCATTTACATAACGCTCTGACGAAAATAACTTGCATAAATTTTCAGCCAATAATAATTTTTAAACTTTATCAATTAGACAATGAAAATGATATCGAAATCTAAACTAACCTATTCTGAATTAAAATTTTATCCTCAACCCATCGCACTTTGCTTCTGCTCCTCGGCCGAGCCAAACTGCCGCTTGTTGGCCTTTTTTCTTTCTGTAAAATTATCAAAAAATGTATATGTTTTGAAATAGTCACGAGTAGTGCGCAAGACTGGACGAGATCCTAAGCTATTTGAGATACGGCGCCCTTTATGAGAGATATGAGTCAACTATTTTTATATGGGATATGACGGAATTTTTGGGGGTGGCCCCCAAAAAGTGGGGGCCCTAAGCTGTATCTTGTGCAGTTTATACGTAAATCCGGAACTGGTAGTGCGGAAAATTTTCTTGTTGCCGTGAATATTTAATTAAAGTAAAAATGAACATTTATTGAAATGCTTTCATTTCAATTTTGATATGTGTTTCAGCTATAAAATAAACCCCTTTCATGATCTAATTTTGAAAATTATAATTTAATTGTTATCTCTCTTCATTATTTACTTAATGTCGCAGCATTTATTTAAATAATTTCGCAAGACTGCGCGACTTTAAAATACTTTATTTTAGTTTAAAATTTATCAAAGTTGGTTGCACACCCACCCACCCACACCCCCTCCACATATATATATATATATATATATGTGTGTAAGATATAACGAAATACGATGGCTACTTTAAGAATAATTGGCCACCTTAAAATAAACGATTCTGTATTTTATGCTTGCTCTCCTCCTAAATTCCTCTGTTCTCCCAAATTTGAAATCTTTCCATGTTACGTAACACTTAATGCAGATCCCTCTTGTCCAATCAAAGTAATTGTAAACCAAAACTTCGTGAGCATAAACGTGACAATTTTTATGTCACGTTTATGCTCACGAATTCACGATTCTATTTTTT